TGGTGTAAAGTAACAGGTCTTAAATGCAGCTTTGCAAAATAATTAACAAGGATTTGGTGTAGGTGACAAAATGGCCGACATACAGGATTTAGAAAAAAAAAATTAAACATACATATGCTAATACAAAATCAAAACACTAATTAATGCAATTAAACAAAATTAATAATATAGAATGATGCAGTAATAAATTCCAAGATAATAAATACTTCTTTAGATGGTAAAATACCACAATTCATTACTGAGAAATTGATTTACAAAAATAAAGCAGTTGTTTAAGACTTAGAATCTGTCAACTGTAACTCTGTCAACTCTTAGATACTGTCAACAGGTAATATCACATATACGCTTATTAATGTAGGCAATTAAAGAGATAATGCAGTACCAAATATAGAGATAACATAAATTAGCACTCTGGCTCAACAACGAAAATAGCCTAACGAGATTAATTTAACAATGAATAAATGATGTACTTAAGGTATAAATGCAACATTTTAGAGTAAACAATTAGATATATGAACAGTCGTTAGTAATGAAAATCATGAATGCAAGCATTTTAAATACGATTAAAACATCTGTAAATAGCTGGGATATTAAATAGAAAACTCCCCTTAAGTTTCTGAACTACCTAAGCGGCTAGGTTTGAAGATTAATTACTAATTAACAAAAACACATTTTAGCAAGAGATCATTATAAACCACACTAAAGTATATGTAGATTAAGATTAAGAGCTTAGTAAATGTATAAGAACATTTCAAATCAGTTAAAAATTGCTTAAAAGTGACTGTAGCAGCCGAATTTACTTCAGTAAATACTCTAAGACCTGGTTATGCTGAATAGAACCAGTGTTCATAACTTTTATACATATTAATTTTTTTTAATTAAACAAAAAGAATGATCAAAATTCTGCCTCGACAAGTTTGCCAAACTCGATCTACTACTATATTGATATAAAAATTTTGGTTGTTCTAAGTATATTAGAAAAATATGACACTTTATATTACAAGAGGTACATTGAAGAGTTGACACGCAGACGGGAACCAGTGAACATCTTACTATTAAGATTGCTGTTGCATACAAGATATTACAAAAACATAGTTATTAAACATTTAGATGTGATGTACAAAGAGAAACTTTCAGTTAAGAGTAGATAGGCGTATTAAATGCTAATAGCTGTATTACAATTAATATAAACTATTGAGTTAAAATTGTTCAATCATAGAAACTGTGATACAAAGGAAGTGCCTGTTACTAGGCTCTATTGAGCTGTGTATGTGACCTTTGCCAAGGACGAGTTGTTGTTGCGTCCTCTTGGCAAGATGGCTGACGTAAAAAATCAGAGTCAACAGTACAAAATTACATAAGATATTACGATTTAACTAACAATGCTTTTACATGAATTATCAAAGATATTAGGAAAATACACAGCTCAATAGCAAGTTAAAAATTTGCCTACTTTGGTAATGATGAGATGAACTTGTTACAACGAGGTAATCCAAAGAAATGAATTTTACACAATTAATGCACTAATTTTGAGACTTAGAAAAAAAATCCCATACACTTATCCTATGCTTCACAATGCTGTAAACACGCAATGAACGCTAACAATGACACAACAATAGACGAATCACAAGAACACTTATTACTTGAAAACTACTGCACGCACAAACACAAAACTTATATCGAATTGCTCCGCTAACACTTAGACAACTGATTATCAACTTTGTTTGCACTTTTAATTAGGATTTCCGCTAATTACGAAAGATAATCCAGGAACTTCAACACACACGTCTTTCCTCCTCGGCGGAGGGATGGGCTCTTTGTGTACATGGGCAGAGCCAATGTAGTGCGCAATGCCGAGGTTGTGCGCGGTGCCTAGTTTGTGCAATTCTAGGATGTTTTTTAAGTGAAAATAGATCGATGTGTACATGGGCAAAGCCAATGTAGTGCGCGGTGCCTAGTTTGTGCAATTCTAGGATGTTTTTATAAGTGAAAATAGATCGATGTGTACATGGGCGAGCCAATGTAGTGCGCAATGCGAGGTTGTGCAATTCTCTGATATTTTTAAGGTGGAAATAGATGGATGTGTACATGGACAACGGCTTGATGTTTTTCAAGCAAATACGGATCGTTGTGTATGTAACTTTTACCTCATTATTATAATACGTAGTGTTTGCAATCGTAATCGCACTTGATAATATGAGTTCTTTGATAATACAGTGTCTCACAAAAGTGATGGGACACTTGTGCTTTACAAAAGGAAACTGTAATAAAATAAATTAAAAAAACATGTAAAAATTTTTTTGTGGTGTGTTTCATACTTAAATTTAGTAACAATTATTACATAACATACATTTTCTCAAAATATTAATTTAATAAAAATACAATTGTTTAGAACGGAGCAAAAAATGGTTCACATAAGTGATGGGACACCATTAGATACTACTACGTACTATGCAACAAAAATCGTCTGAAGTAAGCAATAAAAATATTTTTTGGGGTTTTTATTTTTACTCAAAAGCAATTGGCAATAATTTATAAAATCGTCTGCAGTATTTCTCTCCAGTTTGTTTTGGAATTTTGTGTTTTTTATCTCTGTGCAGCCATGAATGCTAAACGAAAAGAAACTTTGCCTGAAATTCGAAAATTAGTTATTAATTTGCATATTGAACGTGGAAATTCTATTAGAGAAACTGCTGAAACAGTTAACCTGAGTCATTCAACAGTTTTCAATATCATTAAACGATATAAAAAGAATCATATGATTCAGGATAAAAGAAGACCTGGCCGACCATCAAAGCTATCCAATGGAATAAAGCGAATTATCGTTCGAAATATTAAAAAAAAAAAAAAATCCAAGAATGAGTGCTCCTAAAGTTGCTGCTGATTTACAAGCATTATATGGAGTAATTGTTAATCCTGAGACTATTGGAAGAGTAATTCGATCTGCTGGATATCACGGTAGAGCAGCCAGGAAAAATTCTTCGTGAGTGAAAAGAATAGAAACCTCAGACTGGCTTTCGCAAAATCCAACATAAATAAGAATTCTGATTACTGGAATGAAGTTATATTTGCTGATGAGAGTAAATTTAATATATTTGATTCTGACGGTAGAATCTTGGTGGAGAAAACCCAGGGAAGAATTTCGCAAACACACCATTTCTTCAAAACAACAATTAAAATCGGTGCTTCAAGAAGAATGGGGTAAAATCACTCCAGAAATCGCAAAAAAATTAGTCGAATCCATCCCAAGAAGATTAAATCATGTTTTAAAAGTAAAAGGAAATCCAACAAAATATTAAAACCTTTTATAAAGTAAAATTTTTGGAGAAATATTTGATGGAAAAGTAAGTGTCCCATCACTTATGTGAGCCATTTTTTGCTCCGTTCTAAACAATTGTATTTTTATTAAATTGGTATTTTATTATTTTGAGAAAATGTATGTTATGTAATAATTGTTACTAAATTTAAGTATGAAACACATCCACAAAAAAGTTTTACATTTTTTTTTTTTTAATTTTATTATACTACAGTTTCCTTTTTTAAAGCTCAAGTGTTCCATCACTTTTGTGAGACACTGTATGTGTGTGTGTATGTGAAGCATTGCTTAGTGTTCCTAATTTGTAGTATTTATTTTCTTATAATATTTTCTTTCATTGCGAGAAATTAAATTTTTTATTTATTTATGTGTAGAATTCTAGTATGCCTGCCTACAGAGAATATAATGTGATTTAGGAATTTAAGAACCTGTTTTTCATTAATGTGAAGTTTAAAATTTTTAGAAAATAATGAAAATTGTCTACTTACTGGTATATAAGGGATTATGTTGTTACGTAGCAAAACGTTAATTTGTAAATATGATAAAATTGATATGTTCCAGAGTATTAATTAAAAAAACATTTTTTATTTGTATAAATGCTAAAGCTTAAAAATATTTGAAAATACTGAAGCTGTATGAAATACAAGTATGAGAGACTGCGACGTTCTTTATCGTTGTAATAACTGGTAGAATTCGCTTACTGTATCATGATAATTTTAAATATAAACAATTTATTATACTTATTTTCAGTTACGCCTAAGCTCAGAAATGTAAATTTAAAGAATTTGATGTTAATTTACAATAATAAACAATTCATTATTTTTTTTTAAAGAGAAAATAGAAATTACGCGTAGCATGGAGAATACATTGTGACGTCACACCAAATTATTTATTAAAGGTGAAATAGCTAAAGGTTTCCGGTATTGTTTTTTAAATTACATCCTTTTAACCTTAATCATTTTTATTAATCATTTCTTAATATTTCTTTCTCTTAAAATTGTGTATAATAGTCGTAAACTTATTTCCATTATCCACGATTTCTGGTGAAATCAAGATGGCCGTCATTTTTTGAAACACGGAGTTTCGTCGAAAATCTGGATGGCAACCATTTTTCAAAACAACGTATTTCATGTGCTTTGGCGCCAAACCAAATTCGCCAAACTTTTAAGGTGGGCTATACTAAAGCTGTTTCACGGCAAATGAAGGAAGAGCAGTACTTAAAGTCCACTGATACTGATCGTAGAAAGCAAGATTCTGACTAGCGACGTCGCCTTGGCTAACTTGTCCAATTACTATGCGGCGTATTCAGGCCTGATAGCTCGCCGTTAGAGCGTTTAAGAGGCCAACTCCTGTAGAATTTTGATAGCTTCGGCTATATCTTTTTAGTTAAGCATTAGTTACGTTTTAGTTCTTAGTATTCTTGAGTTAAAGTGGCTGTGGTTAAAGTAGAGGCTGTTCTGTACGTCCTGAGAAAGGGCCATCTGTAAACTTTATTTTGAGCAATAAAGGGTAATTAACCCTTCTTGAGTCTCTGTTCTCTGAGCTAAATCGATTATTCTCTTACCAGTTCTCAAGGTTCCACACACTTAGCTGTAAATTCTAGGTTGGAAACCCATACGTGCTTTAAAAAAATTCTTCCAATGTCTTAAGTATATCTGAATTTCATATCTGATTTTTTTTTCAGAAGCAAGTATCGATGCAAGGAGTACAGATTAATGGAAACATAACAACAGAAACTTCGAGAGCAAGGTCATGCGCCAAACCTGTAGAAAATGAAGATCCCATTTGTACCATCAATGAAAGAGTCTTTACCAGTGACGAGAAAGATTTACGACAGAAATTTCCCGATCAGAAATCTGTACTTTGGAACTTGCACTTAGAAAGGAAAGCGCTTTTGCAGGTAAGATTTTCTAGATTTTCTTATTATTTTGTACATGTGACGGATAATAATTCTTTGTTTTCGGCTTGGAAAGAAGTGAAACTGTGGTTTGAGGAATAGACTAGCAAGTGCTTTATCGCTCAATGATCAGCTGGATTTCATACTTGACAGGTGGTGATGAAAAATTATTTTCATGTATTCTTTTCTATCCCACAGTGATTAAGAATAATGTTGAATTAATGTATTTTTTAATTTTCCCCCCCTTCATTAAATATTGAAATGGGAAACTATTTCTAAGAAATCAGTTTGAGAATATTGAATTTGTATTTAACTCTTTCAAAAGCGGTGACTACCTACAGTAACCACCTTTTATATTGAACGTCTTACTCACTCGTGTGAGTGGTTTTCAAGACTGACCGTTTCTGAAGTTCCCTTGTAGCTCACTAGATGGCAATCAAGATGCAGCAATTCGTCTTCAAGAAAATGTACATCAGCCATCGAAGACAACATCACGATGATGTGCATTTTGCAGCATTAAGGAAAAGTCTGTAAGAACAGTGTAGGAATGCAGCACATGCAAAGTTGCACTCTGCTTGAAAAAGAAAAACTGTTTCCATAAGTACCATAAAAACTGATTTGTAAGGATTTTTCTGTGGGCGGTGGTCACTGACACTAACCACCAGAAGTGGTCATTTTTTCCCCACGGATCTTGGACAAAATTTGTGTAATTGTCGCAAATTATTTCATTTTAATACCTGATAGAGTAAATAGAACAACAGGTTTGCTGAAAAAGGTAATTGCCTTTTCCTGCCCTTCAAAGAGTTAAAATGAGAAGAAAATCGAACGTAAAAAATTTAAATATTTGTTGAATTTATAGTAAAATATACTAAACCCACCTAGAACTAACCGAATAAAAATTCTAAAAGTAGCCATTTCGATATACAATTATAATATTTTATTATGAAATATGTCATTACTGATTGGATGGTTTAAAGCTAAACATCATGTCCCATAAGCTCAATTATTACTTTAAAAGCTTTAAATAGTTTAATAATTATGTCAGTTAAATGTTAGTACTTACGCATTATCGCAACCACCTTAGTAGAAATAGCCAAAACTTCAAAATACAACCAGACTGTAACCATACACATAGCATTTCTTCAGGTAATGATGTGCATGATAAATATTCAGTTTTCAGTCACCATTTTAATATGCGTTATGTTTGTTGTATTCCAAGTTCCAAAGAATTTTATAGAAAAATTATGATTATTTTTTTGTCTTAAATGACTCGATTTTACATAAATATTTTTTTTTTTACATATGAATAAACTCGATTTTACAATTTGTGCTTGTAGGATATTCTTATAATAGATGAAAGAGAGGTGAAATTTCTACTGGAATACGCTATTTTATCGTAAAATCGCTAAAAGAACACAGCTTCAAATGCTTTCTCAAAGCGATTGCTACGAAATTTCCACCACAAAAACTAAAACATGTTTCTAACTAGGCTTACTGAATGTCTTTTGGAATAGGTGTACAGTTCAAACGTAGAATATGTACATACAGGGTGATCAGCGAATAAGCCCTGATTTCAAAATTAAATATCTCTACAACAAAGATCGATAGAATTATGCGGTAAACTGTACGTTTATTAGCAAAACTGTAAAAATGGTGTACAAAAGTTTAGAAAATTTAGTTACGAAAATCGTTAACAGATGGCGCTCTAATCGAAATAGCCTCTAAAAATGTAATTCGAAAAATTCGAAAGTGATCAGTACGACTGTTGGCTAGTGAAAAAAGGCTAGCGTAGAAAGTGAAATAATATATTCCATTGAACAACGTGTTTTTTTGGTTCTGGAATTTCACCGATTAGAACACAGTCCTATGGCAACACGTCGCAGTTTTCAAAACCGATTCAATGTTCCATTTGGACCCGATGCATTCGCATGCTCTTCGCGAAATTTGAACGGACTGGCAGCGTGGCTGATGATCGAAAGGGAAATGTTGGGCCTAGGCACTGTAGTCACTCCTGAAAATACAGCCAAAGTTTCTGGAATTTTTCAGCAAAATCCTAGGAAAAGCATCCGACGGATTGCTTCAGAGACAGGTTTGAAGTACACAAGCATGTAAAAAATATTAAAATATAGCCTACGGCGGTTTCCATACAAAATCCAAAGTCATTAGGCCATACCCATGAAAGCTGTGCAACAAAGGGTTAACTTTGCGAATCAGAATCTAACAATGGTCGACAACGACAGATTTGATGTGAGCTGCATCTGGTTCACAGATGAGGCACATTTTCATTTGAATGGAATCGTTAATAAACAAAACTGGAGATTTTGGGGTTCCAAAAATCGTCATTTGTGTGAAGAGAAAGTACTGCATTCGCCTAAAGTTACTGCATGGCCTGCGGTATGCGCCAGAGGCATTATCGGACCCTGTTTCGTACGAGAAATGATAACTACTGAACAGGGTTCATACGTCCTTACAAGTCCTTTGGAATCCTTAAATTCTGGTTCATGCAAGATGGGGCTCGACCACATCGAACAGATAAAGTTTTTCACTTTCTTCATGAATACTTTGGAATAGAGTAATTGCGTTAGATTATCCGCAATTTACTGACACAGGAATAGCTTGGCCTCCATATTCTCCCGATCTGAGTCGTTGTGATTTCTTTCTGTGGGGCGCATTGAAAGACACTGTCTATCGAAACAGTCCCGATACTCTGGATGAGCTTGAATCGTTGATTGGCGTTGCATGTGATTCCATTTCCGTTGAGACATTGCAAGACGTGATGTCAAATTTCCTTGTTCGTTTACGCCACCTCATTGTTTCGAACGGTGAACATTTTGAAAAAAATTGTATTTTGATTGCAAAGGCTGCTTCACTTGAGCGCCATCTGTTAACGATTTTCCTAAGTAAATTTTCTAAACTTTTGTACACGATTATTACAGTTTTGCTAATGAACGTACAGTTTACCGCATAATTCTATCGATCTTTGTTGCAGAGATATTTAATTTTGTAATCAGGGCTTATTCGCTGATCACCCTGTAATAATATGTAATTTTTTAGGATAACATTAATTGTTCTTTCTTTTCCGCAAAATTCGCCAAACTACACCAAGGTGTTTACGATAATACGTAATAATATAAATGTTTTTAGGCTTCCGTAAAACACGAGAATATACCATTCTTGTTTAATTTTAGAACTTTACCACCTCTTAGCCTAACTCTTTTGAGTAGTCAGTATCTTCCTTAATTTATAATGTATTAGGAATTTCAATCGAATCCTAGTTTTATACCGGGATTGTGTTATAACTGATTTATATTTCACTGATAGATGTCGTCCTTAATTTATAATCAATAGAAATGGAAATTACAAAAAATCATTCTTCTTTAAAAAGTAAATTTAAAAGAGTATGTTATTCGGAAATAATTAATATTGGGAAAAATTTAGTTAACACTCATAATCAGAATAAATAATAATAATTATTTTATATGCATCTCAGTTCCTATTTTAGAGCAGTATAGAAAATGCTGAAAAACAAATGAAAATTTCTTCAGGCGTAAAGTTTGTAGAAGGAGAAGCAGATTCTGAATTTTGCAATAGTTATGACAAGATGGAAATTTTGGAAGATATTTAGGTGCTATTATGCTGTGTTTCTCTGAGATTAAAAAGGTATTTGTTTTAGTCTTGTCTAATTTCAGACGATGGATTACGATTTGGAAGATTTAGTAATGAAATGTCTTGGCCTGAAACGGGAACTTAATGCGCTTGAAGATAGCAACCGAGAGTTAAAGAAAGAAGCAAGATCTATAAGAGCAAAATATGAGGCTATGTTAGAGAAAAACAAGAGAGACAGCAACATAATCCTCGCTCTTCAGGTAGGTGATCCAGAAAACTGTGATGTATCACCGACTTTTAAACTTTGTATTTTTTTTTTTTTTTTTTTTTTTTGGATTTTGTAAAAATTGCATGTAGAAAGCATGTGTTATTCTTTCTACCGGTATGCACTGAAGTCACTGCATTACATTATATACAGCGTCTAGGTTAGATTAGTTTAGGTTACCTCAATATAGAAAACTGAACAAGAGCTATCTGCTTAAGGGAAGTGATGCTTTTGTGGAGGACGTTTTAAGGAAACTAGCTGATACTTATATTGTACGTGGGGAAAACTAACTAGTAGCCAGGCCGTTGCTTGTTTGCAAACCCAGGTCGAACTCCCAGTATTCAGCGGTCTTAAATCACTTGGTAATGGAAGGGGAGATTTGTAGTCTCGTAGAAGTGCGGACTTAATTATAGACAGTTTTTTTATTTTAATTTTTAAAAAATATTTACTACTAGTTGAAACTAAATTATGAGTGAAAAAAGTAAAATATCATGGAAATTTTTTAAAAAATTGAACTTTATATTTGAGCTTCACTTCAGTTTTCTGCACAGTAGAAAACTTTCTTCATAATTAAAACTTCGGTTTGTTTGAGTACTTAAATAAGTTTGTCAGTTTGTAGAGTCATTATGATATTTTGAAGCGCGAGAATTGAAAAATGAGCAATGCCCTCGCCGGGACTCGAACCTGGACTTTTCGAATTCGCACGAGTGTGCTAACCGTTATATCTCAAAGGCATGCTGTAAGGAGGGAGAAATATCCCATTTAACGGGCGATTGGGGATTAGAGGACCCAATCGCCAAATCCTGTGGTTGAAGGATCATCATCCACCACCATTTTTAGTTCGGGCGCCGCCGTAGAAACATTAGGTTATTTTGACTCAGGAGACGTGAAAAATGAGCAATGCCTTCGCCGGGGACCTCTCGAATACGCGCCGAGTGTACTACCGTTACACCGCGAAGATATGCAGAAAGGAGGGAGAAACTACCTTATAAGTTTGGTATTCGAATAATGCATTCTCAAAAATCAATATTCCGTACAGGGTTATTCATAATTACGTGAAACATTTGAAAAATTCGTGAAACGAACGGGTATCAAATTTTATAACAATAAAAAATAACCAAACATATTCGCAAACCGTCAGTATGTCTCATTTTCTTAAATATAGCAGATATATATAAGTCACTGAGCTAATTTAATTGGATGCACAGTAGAAATGGGTGGTGTCATAATTGAATGAAAATAGTGATTAAATCTTAAGCTGTTCTGCTCATTACTGCTGGGATCGTATCCAAACCGGCTTCCTTGAGTATATCAATTAAAACTGGCCACGGACAGAAAGCACCAGATGATAATGTGGTGGTCATTTCGGTCTCCGAATGTACTAGTCTCATGTGATTTTTATTTAGAGGGGTTTTAAAAGAGCACTGTCTTTGGACTTGGACTTATTTCTAATCTCCAGGATCTTCATAAGCGTATCAAAAGCTGTGTGACCTCTGAGTAGTTTAATGATCGCGCAAGGACAACGTGAGGGTGGCAAAAATGAAATGTAATCTTTCCAATAAGAAAGCATATAAAACAAATAAAGGTAGGAAGATATATCTAAATTAACAATTTTAATAATTTGCTAAAACTCCTTTTATTTACACAATCAAACTTCCAAACTGGAGATTAAAATTTTTTCTAATGAAAAGGAAATATCCGAAAAAATGATGAGAACTATTTCTTCTAATCGAGCTAGGACACTTTGAAAGAGAGAGAGATTCAAATTTCTAAAATAAAAAAGCTTTAAAACCTCCTAAATCTCCTAAAGCTTTAAAATCTCCTAAATATTTTGTTAAAATACTTTCTTAAATACGAATTTATTTCTTATTCTTTCAATAACAATTATTTTTAAATATTTTGTTAAATTAATTTAAAAAAATTAATTTAATTCTTATTTTTATAATAATAATGCTTTCTGAATATAAATTTTACTCTTTTAAAAATATTTTGCTTTCCATCAGTGTTTTTTAGCGAGCGAAATTTTCATTTACCAGATATGATATAAGCTAGTTAATTGAAAGACCTTAAATGGCTTCCCTGGTTTTGTCCAAGCTCAAAACGTGGCTGCTTCGCTTATGTATCTAATTTGCGCTTTGAAATAAACAATCGAGACTGAACTGGTAAACACTGCGCTCAACTGAAACGGAGTATTGGCGAAATTTCAAGGTTTAAGAAGTCGACGAAAGAGACAAGGAAGCTGAATATCTCACGGCTTCCTCACAACGAGAAAAAAATATTTCGCTTGCAAAAGATAGCGACAATAAACTTGCTGCTTTTAATCCTTCATTTAATTTCGTCTTGCTATTTTTTGCATTTTTAATACTTCATTTTCAAGGCCTTTTTTTAATTATAAAATTTATAATTCGATTTTTATATATATTTTTAAACATTTTTTTAATTAGAAAAATTTGATTCGTCCTCAATCGACCTTCATTTTTTTTTTAAATATAAATTTATTTTCTTCTTCTAAAAATATTTTGCAAAATATTTTTGTTTTTTTATTTATTAAATTATTTTATTAAAAAAATTAATATTTTATTATTTCCTTCCTTTTTTAATTCTTATATTATTTTTTCTTCGGGCAGTCTAATTTTTTTACTGAATTTTTTTTATATAATTTTTCCTCTTCATTTTTTAAAAAAATTATCGTGTCGTTAAAAAGTTCATTTTATGCGCGCCATTATTTTTATAAAACTTTTTATGGGCATTTTTAATCCTTCACTTTTAAGGTCTTTCAATTAACTAGCTTATATCATATCTGGTAAATGAAAATTTCGCTCGCTAAAAAACACTGACGGAAAGCAAAATATTTTTAAAAGAGTAAAATTTATATTCAGAAAGCATTATTATCATACAAATAAGAATTAAATTAAAATTTTTTAAATTAATTTAACAAAATATTAAAAAATAATTGTTATTGAAAGAATAAGAAATAAATTCGTATTTAAAAAAGTATTTTAACAAAATATTTAGGAGATTCCTCAGTCTAGGAGTCAATGTACTTAAAAATATAGCACAGATTGAAAATATATATAAAAATTAAAAATAGTTAGATTTTTGAACAAATTCTACACAAATATTTAAAAACCAATTTCTTAAGCAAAAGTTTCACAATTTCTTCTGACATGTCGGTTTTTAATATTGTTACGAAATGTCCAGACGCGGTAAGATCACTTCCCCGCAAAGCAGTTTAAGGGTTTGCCATAAAATGGCAAAGGAAGGCAGGGTTGCCACATTTGGCGAAAAATCGTCCATTTGGCGATTTTTGGGGTCAAAATTGGCGATATGCCATGAACGGATGGAGAACCTTCTGGAACGAATTCTTACCGGTTTAGCCCAGAATGTTCTCGAACACAAGTCAAAAGCTATATAAACCCTGCTGGTACGCGAAGAGTTAGTTAAAGAAAGCTAAGAACTCCCTTTCCCCCACACCTAGCTGGACGAAGGAAGACTTTCCTAATCTGAAAAGCACAGAAAAAAGTAGAGATAACAAGGAAATTGAAGCCACTGCTAAACCTAGGTATAGCGAAAATGTCAAAAGGCGAAGTTTTCAAATTCCGAAGGAAGCAAGAACTGTAACCGACTGGATACTGGATGATAAAGTACAAGATTTCCTGAGAAATATTGTTATGCTCATTGAAAGAATTCGCAAGGCAAGGATTGTTGCTGACAAACTTTCTGCAGGCTTCAGAGCTGTCACGTACATTATGAAAATTGCAGAAAATGAAAACTGATTTGTCCTGAGAATGTCACTTCTTCCTTAACTTCTTGAACAGCTTTCCCATCACTTAGTCCATCTTCGATGCTTTTTTCAACATGTTATTATTTTACAAGTCAAAATCATTCGAATTCATCACCAGGTTATTTCTCATCAACCTTAGAACTTCAAAACAACTATTCTACATGGTGTTGCGTTTTTCATTTCCTTCTGACACCAGTAGTTACGTTATTTTACTTCCTTCACGTTCGTACGGTGTTCGTATGGATTTGGAATGAATAACGACGACACTTGATGAAGTATCGAAATACACTTTATTTAGCCAATATTCATCAGGACAGCTCCAAAAACCCTTTTTTACAGTCGTCGAGGAACTACTATAAAACACGCTGACACGATCAGCGACACAGCTTTCAGGTTATCAAGCTATCGCGATGGAGACAGCTTCACTGCAAAGCACCAGAGTACAGCTCCGGGCTCTGCCCGGTCGTTCTCGGAAGTCCACATACTCTCGAGACTCTCCACGCTACAACTCTCAATGCACTCGACAACGCACAGAGCACGGCTCCCGACTTTGCGGTTCAGTCGTTCCCGGAGCTGAACACGCTCTCTCGACGATGCGCTAAGGGACTCTTCGATGCACTCGACGACCCACTCGGCACTCGCTGGCCGGCTGTCAACTCGATCCTCTCCGCAGGGATTGACTCGCTAGACAAGACACACTCTCTGAGACACACACTAACTGACTGCGGACCAGCAGGGTTTATATAGCTTTTGGGCTTGTGTTCGAGAACATTCTGGGGTAAACCGGTAAGATTTCGTTCCAGAAAGTTCTCCATCCGTCCATGGTAGATAATCAATTTTGTCGCCAAATGGGCGATTTCCCTCCGAATGTGGCAACCCCGCCTTCCCTTGACATTTTATGGCAACCCTAAAACTGCTTTGCGGGGAAGTTATCTTACCGCGCCTGTACATTTTGTAACAATGGGGTAGGGCCTTCGGCTCAGGTACCCGGGTGTCACGATGCACCATTCCACTGGAGGAGAGTTAGTTAGTGTCTCGTCTAACGAGCGATCAGTTAGTGAAAGTCCATCGAGTTGACAGACAGTCAATGAGTACCAAGTTGGTCGTCGAGTGCACTGACGTCTCTTAGTGTATGGCGGTTAGTGCATCGTCGACAGAGTGTGTTGAGCTCCGGGAACGACTGAACCGAGGAGTCGGGCGATGTACTCTAGTGCACTGTCGAGTGCATCGCGAGTTGTAGCGTGGAGAGTCTCGAGAGTACGTGGAGTTCCGAGAACGACCAAGCAGAGTCGTGAGCTGTACTCTGGTGCTTTGAAGTGAAGCTGTCTTCACCGTAATAGCCTGATAACCCGGAGGCTGTATCGCTGATCGTGTCAGCGTGTTTATAGTAGTTCTTCGACGACTGTAAACGTGATTTTGGAACTTTCCTGAAAAATACTGTCCAATTAAGTGTGTTTTGATACTTCATCGAGAGCTGTTGTCATTATTCACTCCAAATCCGCACGAATCCCGTACCTACGTAACGTAAACGAAGAAAAAAACGCAACAATATGATCTCACATTTTTTTATCGATACATTTAAATATGAAAGATTCTGAAAGAGTTTGATATTTAAAAACTTCATTCTAGACTTAATTCTAATTCTTCATTCTTCTTCATATCTTTTAAGCATTTTCTGATAATTTTTGATGTCTAGAAATTAATATCAAAATTTAATTTATCCGAAATTTCTGCAATGAAACTGTCACTTAAATTTTGAATTTCTGAACTTTTTTACCAATCTACTTTAGAAGCATTTTCAATAATAAACTTTTCAGATAACATCTGTTATCTAGAAATTTTCTCCCAATGAAAAAGATGTTAATCCTCGATGATAAATTTTTTTGTTTATCTTAGATATGCACAAATATTATGCCAATTTGCTTTGTATTAGGAAATACAAAATCCTGATAGTACCTGATATTTTAAATTAATTCTCTGATGTATAGCATTTTCAAAATTTCCAATCAAATTTTCAGATAGTTTATTTACCCTCGAAATTTCTGACCTATTGATATCTATTTATATAGTATAATTTTTATTTTTTTGGAAGCAGGCAAGATGAAAAATTAGCAACTGCCTTCGCCGGGAATCGAACCACGAACCTCTGAAATACCGGCTCAGAGTGCTGACTGCTACACCACGAAGGCACGCTAGGAAGGTGGGAGAAATACCTTATATACCCCCTTTTAAAGGACGACTGGGGTTTTTAGGGGACCCAATCGCCTCCTGGGTGAGAAGAATCATCATCCAGCACCCACTGTAGAGAGCCAAATCCTGGGTGTGGAGAAACCTCATCCAACACCCTTTTAGTTCGGGCGCCACTGTAGGAACATTAGGCATTATTTTGAAGGCCGGAGAGAGGAAAAATTAGCAACGCCTTTGCCGGGAATCGAACCATAGACCTCTGAAATAAGGGCTCAGTGTGCTAACCACTACACCACGAAGGCACGCTAGGAAGGCGGAAGAAATACCTTATAAGGTTATTAATTTATTTTGCACTCGCTGTCGAATGTAGCGAATTCCCAGAGTGTTGTCTGTCGTAAAATATATTCTTTAATTTATCTTTTTAAATTAATTAATTTGCTAACAATGCGTTGTAATAGCGTGAAAATAACGACCTTTGATTTACTTTATATGCGCCCTTACGCTCATCCGATTCTCAGTCTGTTGCCATTCATCAAAGCATAAGATCTTTAATTTATCTTTCAAATTTAATAAGTCTATTCTTGATTAACAAAATTAGAGACTCAGCAGAAATAAACAGGTTTCTTAATGATTGAAATATTTATTTTGCTTTTCTTAGTAATGCAACTAACTAACTGATACAATTTGAAATGCATTTAATGTATAGTAATCCAACTGATTAATTTTGACAACATTTGTAGGCTTTTTGCAATTATTGTGTTGTGACTTGTCTCACTTATTTGACAGTAACATCAGAACAAGCCCACGAAATCCATCGTGGCAAAGAGTGCAAGATTTTCGTTGGCAAGAGCTTTGAGCACCATACCAGTGACAAACGACTTCGCTCCGTTACGGCCCCCAATTTTGATGGAGAGCTCCTCAGGGGAACGGGACCGAAGGTCTCTCCCCCCCTCTACCATTAGCCTCTCTAGAAGGCTCAAGGCTGGCCTATATTTAGAGTGTCCCATGCCGCACGGACACTATACATTTACAAACATCGATGCCTTTTCCGGGGTTCGAGCACGGTCCTTTTGGTACCGCAATAGGTTCCTCTAACCATTATACTATCTGGGCGGCTTTTACAATTATTTAAAAGATGCTATAATGACAACATTTGATAGCAAAATCTGTTACTGCATTACTGAAAAATTTTTAATTGCTTAAAATTTTTATGGTGTACATTTGAAAAAAAAAAAAAAAAAAAAAAAAAAAAAAAAAAGAAAATTACTGGTAAACTCTTCTTTGAGATGTTAGACTGTAAACTAAGTCTTCAGTTTTCTAATTTATTTTATTTTAGACCATAAATAGAGGCAATTAGTACATGTGCTCTATATCAACTTTCATTGCAGAATTCTGAGCAAAAGCTGAAACAAGCTGTAAAGGAAAAGTTACATCTTGGACATGTTATGGATAATTCTCATCAGCGGAAGATGCAGCTATGCGTAGAAAACCGGAGACTGGAAAACGAAAGGAACCGGCTAGTACGCAGATCACAAGCTGATAATAATCGCATAGTCAAAATTCTTGTGAGTATTATGCGAAATTTAAGCTAATATTTAATGATTTGCAAGTTCGTGAGGAGATCGTTATTCAAGCTGTAAGCTATTTTATACAATTAATGTATTGTTATCATTTAAGTTTTTAGCATAATTTCTTCTTTCTGTATTCCTTACCAGAATGCAAAACATGTGTTTGTGCATTGAAGCTGAAGGTTCTAAATGTTTAGATAACAGCTTCTGGCAGCTGTATCTTGTTGTTAATTACTCTGGCTAGCTCTGCTTAAAAAATATTATGGTTTTAGAACCTTGCTTGTCGATGTTTTAAAATACGCCGGTAAAATTCTGAGTCAGCTTAAGTAATATGTTTTATGTGTAGTCTTAGACTACGTTACCTACGTTTGAATTTAACTGTCTGTTATGTTAATTTAAATATCCACAAGTAGGGGAATTTTTATCTGTAACAGTTGTTCCCTTTCTATTTAATTTAAAGACCAAATAAAAAAACCTTCTTCAGTATTTTTTGAGTTGTTTAAGTCATAAATCATTATCATTCTAGTAGGTCTGCATGACTTAAGCTTCCGGTTAATCTTAGAAAGTAATCTTGTTAATATTTCTCTTGAATACAAAGAAATACCAGTTCATTGAGAAGTATTTGGGATATTTATTGTAACCATTCAGGCTTGCTGATGAAAAGACAACAGAAGGCTGTTATTATAACTCGAGTGGAAGACCAACGCTGAATTCGCAATAAAAGCTTCTGCCTCTCCCCCCCCCAGACCGGACATTTACACAATATAAGAAAATACAGGCAAATTTATTCAATATATACATAAAGTTATTAAGTTTTATGCCTGTTACATGTCATTTCACAGAACTTTAGTTCAGTTAAATATAAAATGGTAAGATCTTCTGAGACTACAAAAATATACACCACATCAATTTCACAATATTTCTAAAAATTACCTTACATTGTAGGCTTCCCATTAGCTGACTAACCAGTTATTTTAATTTTGGTAGCTTTTGCGAATTTCCTTATTTCCCCTCACATTTCCTCGCCAGGATGCAAATTAAGTAGGTAAAGGAGAGTATTTAAATGGGTGAAACGGAAAGGATAGATGGTGATTTCCCGCTAGAGTGGCGCACGTTTGCTATTTTGTCCTCCAGCTATTAATCTTAGTAGCGGCTACGCATTCTAGCTGTTTAGTTGGTCTATCGGCTGTGTAGGTTACTGAGTCAGCCTGTTAGATTAAATTAAATTATGCAGTCTAACATTACTCCTTACCTTTTGCATTTATTGTTTATCTTTACGTTTTCACTGCAAGTAGTCGGTGCTATTGCAGGCACAAAGTCCGTGCTTTTTTATTAAAGAGTTTTGATAAATAAAAAAGGCTTTTTACATCCTTTTCTTGTCGTATTCATCTTCATACTTGTGCAAGAATTCGCCAGGCTGAACTTTGAGATTCTAGATAAATAGCATGAAAGCTAAGAAAGGCAGACCTTATCACTGGCGCTAGAAAAAATCCGGACCAATGGCCAACTATGAACCAAATTATTCGCTGACCCCGTCAACGTCGCAGACCCCACCGGCTCCTGTAAACCCAATGGAAATGTTTGGTTTCCTTGTATACAAAATGCGGGCCTTCATGAAATCCGCTGTGACATTAGACGGAAGAACGTCGGTCACCAATTTCTTAGAACAGCTGGACAATCACGTTTTTGCTGTACCCGGTCGCGAATGTGCAAAAGATAACAATAGCGACCACTGCCCTACGAGGACAGGCACTAAGCCACTGCCCTACGTGGACAGGCACTAAGTTCAAAGGGATCTGAAAATTTTTACTGGGAGAAACAGACAGTCTGGAATATACGTTTGAAAGATTCAGAAATGCCCTTGTGAAAGCATTCTCTGTGGTGAAAGAAAGAGCAAAGCTCGAATCCGAATTGTACGGCAAATACCAATATAATGTCGAGAAGTTAACTAAATTCATTTTAAGGAAAATTCCACTTATTAAATTACTGCATGAGAAAAGACCAATACCGAAATTATCCAGGTTAATTTGCACCCACTATTGCCCCAGATTCAAGACTTTATTGAATTGAGAAACCTCAGTACGTTGCAACAGTTGTTTGAGCTGGCGGTTAAATCTGAAAGTTGGAGGGTAGCTGAAAGTGAGTATTTCGGAAACTAAGCTGTAGCTTCGACAATGATGCACTGAAGGCGGTAGTTGAAACTCACCTTCGATAAACTCTAAAGAAAGTGACGAAAATAAATTAGTGTGCACTATTCAAGTTTCCCATCGCTGGCGAGAATTTAGAAAAGTCAAGAAGCCTAATAAATGGGATTTCCACGAAATCACTGATAAACGTGTCGCCTTCATGTTTTCAATCCTATACCGTCCCGGAAAATAAATGTTCCGTTTTGATCTGAATGGGGATATGTGACGTAAAGTGGATTTTGTATGATAATCATTGCCGGTTTTCTCAATGGTTAAATTCAGATAAAGCTCCAAAATACAAGCCGAAATTGAGCCTCCATCCGAAGAAAATAATGAGGCTGTTTGGTTGCAAGAACTGGTATTCTTTTTTGAAATGCGGGTGAAAGCATTAATGATCAAACATACCTCAGCTGAAGTGAATGAATCTGAATTTGCACGATAAGTGGCCTAAGTTGGTCAACAGAGATGAAATTATTCTGTTTCACGAAAATGTACAACAATATACATCATAAAGAATTAAAAAGTACAGAAATTGCGGTCTGGTGCTCGTCGACGACATTTACCAGTGGGAGAATCTTCAGCAATGAGGCCGTTGGGAGAAACACCCTTCAAGGAATTTCTTAATTCCAGAGCATCGACTTTCTATGAAACTAGCATAGATGCATATATATAGGGTAGTCATAAAAACCTTCGCTTTTATATAAACCCCTAATTGCCTATCCGCCAACAGATACTGTTATTTGAAAGTATGCGCTCGAGATTGTGATGATTTTAAACAATACATATCTCACGGTTACGGTTATAGCTCCTCATTGGCATTATTTAAATTTCATCTATGGTTTTACTGCTTTAGAGCTTAACGGTTCACCAAATTTATATTTTTTTTACCTTGAAGTAATTAAATTGTTTACTTATATTAAGGATTATTAGGTGCTTTTATAATTTAATTTTTGTCTCATTCACAAATTGTTATTATTTCTAATTGGCTGAAGTTTATTTCGATTCGATAAACACCTCTGCTATTAAATATGTTACTGCTTTGTTCTTTCTTTTTCTTTTTACTGTTTCTTTTTTTTTAATATTTCGTATCATCTTTTCTGTACATTGTGTAATCAGGATATTGATTGTTACAGAAAATGTGAATCTTCAGTGCTGGGCCAATAAATGTTTTGTGAGGCATCTTTCTATAATAAGATGATTTTCAAACTTTCTTGGTCTGGGCAAATCTTTACAAGATTCAATTTCTTTTGTTATGCTTTTAATATTACCCATTTAATGTACATTAATTATTAACACGTCCTTTAAAAATAATTATTTTATAACGGTAATATTTCTTTCGCTTAATCATTTAATATCTTTTGATCGCACATCACCAGTAGCCGAGAAGTTAAGGCTATTCATTGAATGCTAAGTACTCGAGCCGGGTTCGACCGCAGAGGAACTGGCTGTCTGCATGACCGATTTGTGTGATTTCTCCATATGTAATATGAATACTAAACAGTTTCTTTATAAAGTACTCTACAGAAGCTCATTAGGAAGATTGCCGTCGTGTGTGTTCCGGTTTGATTAGAACGGTGTTGAGGTTTGATAAGAAACTCTTCTCTGCCTCAGACTGGCAACAGTGAGAACTTGACTTTCGACTCGTTTGATGCAACTCGAACATTGCTAATGAGATGTAACATAAAATTAGATTAATTTGTTTAGTATTTTAATAAAACGTTTTTAAAACTAGGTTGAGTATTTTGATCATAGAATCATAATTGAACCACCACTTATAGGAAATTAGATACGTCGCAGATGCGCAGTTAGATGCATAGGCAGCGCCATTATTCTGTTCGATTAGTGTACATTAGTGCGTGCAGTGTGCTTTATATACAAATAAGCCCGCATTTCATTGATGACACCTGTGGTAAAGAGATACGACCGCTGAACGATTGTAATTTAACGCGGACTCTAAGTTCGACAAATAAGCTGGCTGCATAGAAAATTTATGGTTTTACCGATGTGTAATGTAAATAGGAGCCAGTTTGGATTAAAACATCTTTCACGAAGGTATTCGCCCCCTTAGGTAGGCAGCCTTGGTGTGCTCTGCCATTATCTAATGAATCCAATTACTAATTCGTTCGGAGAATTTACGACAGAGGATTCTCGAAATCGCATTTTGAAATTCTGGTAAGTCACAAATAATGATGTGTCGATAAGCACCGTATTTTTCACAGTTTTAAAGGCTGATCCGTATAAATTCCGCATCAGTTTGTTATTATTAGTATGTAATTTTAGATAAAGCACCTGTATCCCCCATACCCACAAATGCTGAACTCTTTAAACTGAATAGTCTTCGTTTCAAATAAAATATCCAATAATGAAATTAAGGAAATGACATGATACAGTTTATTGGTATTTTTCCTCAAAATTTCTTATCATTGCTTTTGATTTTTATATTTTAATCACAAAGCAATATTCAAAATTCATAATAAATGTTTATCAAAGTAGTATAATGTAAATTTAGTACATGAAGTAGGTATATATAGATATTAAATTTTCGTGTACGAAATACACTAATTATATTGCTTCATATAACCTTGATAATAGATTTTTGCGAGTGTACTTATCTCACATTCATTTGATTTTGTATTTTAATAAGCAATAGGAGGGCCAACAGTGAACGAATGATTAAAGCGAATCTTTAGTTCTCAGTTAGATGCACAGATCTTTTAGCAATTTGTTTCGATATGAAATGTAAGTTCGAACTAGTTTTCTTGGTTAAGACTTCTACGAAGACATTCCTGCTTGGGAAAATAGCTTCAGATGTTTTACTATAAATAATAAGGATGTATTGAGCTTCGTTTTTAGCATTAAAATTTTTATATTTAACAGGATGTCCAGATTTTGAAAGCTGCTTTTCAAGTATCTTCATTAATATTTTAGCGTAATATTTGCATAAAATCTAAAATCAAAGTCTCTCAGATCCTGCTAGATTGACAAGCGACTTATCGCTTTAGTCTGAAGCAAATGACAAAGCCTTAGAAAGGTTAAAATAATCTTTTATTGAACTCTGGGAACTCTTTAAATCAACATAAGGCACCACTTGTGATACAGAAAATAAATCCGTTACTTGCGAGTATTTAAAATAATACGAAGTTAAATTCAAATTTAGGTAACGTAATCTGAGATTATGCCTAAAACAGACTGGCTCAAATAACAACCGGCACGTATTTAAATGTCGGCTAACACAATGGGTGAATCCCCCGAATAACTTCGAAAGAATTGGCAATAATAGGTAATTGCAGTGCGAGGCTCTCAGAAGCAGGCCCGCGCCGACAATAGGTGCAAGGTCGTGCGGTGCACAACGGTGCCGGGTAAAATCATTAAAACAAGCACTTCGTCTCGCTGCCTGTCTGAACGAGAAAATTCCTTTGAACGTCCTCCGATGGTCGACTCAGGTAAAACCTGGGAAGTACTGGTTAGGATTTGTTCTCGGCCACGGGTGTTTAAAATCAGTCTCCAAAGGACTGGAGTCATCGCTGGCGATGGCTGCTTCAGGCTCGACAGGGACCGTATGGTACTGTCTTGTCTGTTCTGTTGGTTGTGGTGGAGCTACATGGTCAGATATTTATGGTTGGCGTCTTTGAACTGCTTGAGGTTTCCAGTGGGCGTCGGGAGCCTCAAAACTGCATATTCATATCCTTCCTTGGTTTCTCCCTGGGGGCGCCTAAAGCCGTTACCATGACGTTGTGTTAGTAGCCCGGTCTATCTGACAGTGTTTAAGTGACTTCGTTCTGCTGTCCGGGTTTGGGTCCTTTTTTGATGGCAGATGTTTTTACCATCCCTCCAGAAAGCGGACGTGGAATGTGAGTTACTAAGTATTCCTGTTGACTTAGCTTTAGTCTTAGCACGTCTGTTTGATTGGTAAATATTCTAACTGTAATAAAAAATTAGTTGCAGCATTAGAAACATGTGTATTTTTATGGTATGATGATTGGTATATAATATGTGCTGAATAATTATGTATTTTATGTCTATTTTAATTGGGAATTAGTTCCTGTTTTCCATTAGACGTTTTATTTTAGAATATGTGCTTTATATTGTTGGAATACCGGTCAATTGTATTGACTGGAACTGTTTAAAAATCTGTAGTTTTGCACAATTTAGAATTGTATTGAAAATTTAAGAATTAGTTTTCCTTTTTTTATCATCTGGGAGCCAAGTCATTATTTACAAAACATTTGCTTCTGTGGATAATAGTAAAATAGTGTACATATTACAATGAAATTCCCAATTGCAATTTCATGTTTGTCTTGTGGATAATTGCGACACAGTGTGCAAATTGCTAGGACGCACATAATGAGGTGTGCTAACTGTTAAGGACACGAAGTTATGATGTATCAAAGTGGACAAGTAGTATTTACTTGAACGATGAATTTAACAAAAGTGAACATAGAATATCCTACACAACATCATATACTTTAGGCTATGGAACAATCAATTGCCTGAACTGATGTGACTTGCTTACTCTGTGGATAACTGCAAAAATAATACGACACACATCATTAGGTGTGTAACTGAAAGAATATTAAGTTATGATGTATTGAAGAAGACATAGGTTTAAAAACTGGTTAATAATAAGTTCCACTCTCCACAACATAGATCCTATCCATGACAATGTAATTATTAATTGATCGTATATGTATTTTCATACGGATTATTATGTAACAATTATTGTATAGATGACACTGTCAATTTAGCATTGTAATATTACTATCATTGATTCAGTGAATGCCGCTGGCGGTGGATTGTAGATTCTTTTCCATCGCATGGACATATAACTCTGATTGGTGTAGAACCTTAGGTTGGAGGTCCATGCAACTGCGTATCAGTCTTAGCACGTCGGCTCGACCGATAGGTTAGCGGCCTCTTGGATCACCTCTAGGGGTTAGGGCGTTTAACTGTGTTAAGGCAGCCTCGAGCTTGACAAGTCTGAGTGTCCCTTCCTCATAGCACATTGTCTTATCACAACCAAATCAAAATCGCGCCAAATTAAAAACTCTCGCCAATTTTGGCGCTCAGTCGGGATTATAGAAGATTAACCATAAAACCCTACAATATATCTAAGAGTTTATTTTACTTTTTTTAGTTTTTCTTTATTTTCAAATAGGAAAGACACAAAAAAATTCATCATTTAATTGAAGAGCAGGCGAAGCTCGGAGATACTTGCAGCAAACGCTATGAAGGAGAGGTTAACGAAATAACGGCAAGTCTGAAATCTCTTGGATATCTTTTAGAAAATCTGAAGGCAATCATTCAGGATCGAGATTCCGTTACTGAATGTTTGACAGAATGCATGACTAATGGTTTGAAGGTAAATAGAAATTTTTTTCCATGAAAGAGCAGCGCAGAACAGAAATTTTTTCAAACATTGCTCAGAAAGATTATTGTAAAAAAAGAAGTTAGATAAACGCGATTAAGAATAATTCCTCAGTTATGCAATTAATTGAAACTAAAGGATTATTTAAATATTTTTTCATTGGAAATATCAACTTTCTATATAAGCAATTGCATTTAGAAAATTGTTGATATTTTATTTAAGTAATTATATTCTAAACATTTATAATAAGGAATTATTTTTAATATTTGATTCATGATATGGAAACTAAAATTGACAGCCCTAAATTAATGACTAGATATAATATGACTGCTACGTATAAATAAATCACGTGTATAAAAAATCCCGTGAAATATTACCAAGCTGATAACAAATGTATTCTCAGAAGAAATGTTTTGCAGCTATCGCTGAAAATGCAATTTTATGGTATGGTTAATAATCTCTGTTGCAAATATCATTGTGTTTAGAAATAATTAAAAGCTTCTTTTAAATGACGGTTGTAAATTGTCTCATCATAAGAATCATAAGCATGGAAACTTGTTGAAGAAGAATTATAATTATAATTTGGGGAAAAAGTAAGGGTAAAAATGTGAAATTATTATTTTTTCTTATTAAATTTATTATTATTAGGTAGTAAGTCTTTGCTATTGTGGAAACGATCAAGAGATTTTCATGCCACGTAGAGTCATAGCTAGCATTCGAAATCACACATCTTCCAGTTGCTTGCTGGACGTGTTAAACACCTGCAAATCCAATAAGCCCAGGAAAGAGATAATTGTTTTTGCACTGTTAGAAATGTCATAAATTCCTGCTAAATTGTCCTTCTTTTGTTAGTAACAAGATTAGTTTTCTTAGATTCAGATTAGTTAGACGTATACTTACACTTGTGTATGTAATAATGCTTTCTGTGTAGTTCCAATAATGCGGTGACAAACTAAAAGGATTATATACCAAAATTTTGTGATGTCCCAGAATTTTTTTATTGAAGTGCATTAATTATTTTCTGTGCACTTACTTATTAAATAAATAAAATTGCTTCTTTCTTCTCACGTTTTGTTCGCCATTCTATTTTATATGAATCGGATTTTATTGGGCAACTCATATAGCCATATTTTTAGACATTTTAGCTGTTGGAAAATCAACAATGGCCTTGACCTTGATTAAAGGTAATTGATGTACTACTGTTAATAAGATAATTAAAGTAAGATTAAGATAATTAATGCATTAATGTACTTTATTATGCTATATATATTTCGGAAGAAATCTTTCGTTGATACACTATGAAATGTAATTTAACTTTTCTTTTAGTGTATGAACTTTATTCTCAAATGGAATTAGTTGGGCTTATTATTTAATTATTTTATTTTTGTAGGCTTTATTACCTACAGATATAGGAAAAGCTGACAAAGTTGAAGAGGATGAAGGTAAACAAATCCCGTGAGTCTATCTGATAAAATATTAGACACGAAAAGTTTCTTGCATTAATTTGGATCGTCATTTTAATTAAACATGCTCTTATGATGGACAATTAAACGATATAAATGAAAACTAATTATGATGATAACAATTTTAAGATATAAAATGAACAGTGTTTCGAAATGGTTAAGAAAGTAATAAGCAGTTATATCTTCTTGGAACATAAAGAGGTATACAGGGTGTACCGTAAATGTTGCGACAAACGTCTAGGGGAGGTAGGGCAGAATTGCATCGGAACCTATGCCCGGAAATGTCAGGCATAGACCTTATAAAAAATAGACCAACCCAAATGGGTTTTCTCCCTTGCCCTGGCGCATTCCCGGCTGTCACCTTGACCACATCCGGAGGAGCAGGGACGACTTGCAGAAGCTTAACAATAGTTGGCTATTGCAGCGCGTATAATTTTAAAGAAAAAGCTGGTAATAGCTCCTCATTCACAAATTAGAATTTTAGATATTTTTATTTTTGAAAAACTGAGATTAATTTTAAAATTTAGCATGCTTATCAGCATAATTAATGTCTAAATAAGTTATAAAGTTTGCATGCTTTCAGGTCGGATATTTTTTAGCTTTTCCTATGCTGTAAGGAAATTTTATTACTTCTTTTTAAAAAAATATTTTAAATCTGAACTAATAGAAAATTCAAACAAGCAATTTCGCTTACAATTTTATGCTTTTATTGGTTGTAAATAAGTAAAAAAAATATTAAAATCCAAAAAATGGATTTTTGAAAGTTTCTGTTTAAAATTCTTAATTGTACTGCTTTTTTAAAATCATATCTGAATATTATAGCATAATATTCTACAAAGGAGTTTTATTTCAATAATATTTCATAATAATACATCATAGTGATAAACACTTTCAACACTTTAATAATTTTTATCCATTTATTCTAATGTTAAAAATTGTATGTAACTGTAATAAGTAATTGTGCTAGTATTTTATAGTAATTATTTTTTAAATTTATTTCTAGTTCTGCATAAGTTTTCTTATTTATCGCGAATTTATTTTATTAGCCCAAAGGAGGGCAGCTCAGAAAAGCTATTAGTTTCGAAATGGCATTTTGCTTTGTTTCACTATAAATGTCCGTTTCACTTTGCAAACTGTTGCCAACAAATATTATCGCCCTGCATTATATTTAAAGAAATTAAATAATGAAGAATTTGCATGAATGCACGTATGTTTCTTTCGCACTGTGAAAGAAGCAACGGAATTTAGAGCCATCAAATTTTGAATAACGTAATCCTCCACCCGAATATGGGCACCTGGACGGCCTAATTTCGAATTTGTTTTAGTCCATTTCATATTTTGTAACTTTAACGAAGTTTTGATTAACAAACTCAATGAGTTCAAAGCAAGCAATGGCAACCTTGTACAGAAAATAACATTTTTATCTCCAGCGCGGAAATTCTAAAGATATGCCATTTTCAAATATTTTGTGATGTTGCTCTTGAATTGAATTTTATGTGGCTTACTTGCGAAGAACATGATATTTAATAAATAAAAGTAACACACAAAACATTTCAAAAAATGCTCCTTTGAGCGTAATATAACATCAAATCTGAGTGCTTCCAGAGCTTATCTTTTTTTTTTTTTTCCTCCTTACACTCAGAAAAGTTTACGCTCCGATAAATGATCGTCTTGTTATGTTATAAAAATTTTTCTGAAAATGCACATAAAATCAAAGAAAATGATGAGATCTTGTTTAAAGCGTCATGTGCTATCAATATTATTTAATTTTACTTCATTTGTACACAAAAATAAGTTCATAAGTTTTGCGTTTAGAAATTTTTACCGTTTTACTAAAGTAAAGAAATTTATACAAGAATTAAGCTTGAAAAAAATGCGCAAAATTCAGTAAAAAGTGCTTTTATGAGATATATTAAATCTTATTTGCAAAAACTGTGTCTTTCATAAACTCATTCAGATCGTCCCTAGTCTTCATTGCCGACATGTGGGTGACACACGCGCCGCCCACTAGGTTAGTCTATCTCTTATAAAGTCCTTGATGTCAGGGTAAATGGTGGCAGAGGTAGAAGATGGGAAAAGAAGCAAGAGTGATTAATTTGAAGCTTTTGTTGGAATATGAATACAAATGGTGTACGTCAGCTTGAATGTTTCAACAGATGCTCGAAGTTTGCACCATCAGACTCTAAACATATAACATATACCTGCCACCGACGGACCATTTGAATGCCGTGAATTAGTTGATCTTTCTGGAGAAGTTTTTGATGATGTTTCACCAAATGTGAGGCGCAACATATGATTCCCACATGATGGGGCCCTTGCTCATTTTGGACTGGATGTTCGTAGCCATTTGAACAGGGCATTCCCGCATCGATGGATTGAATGTAGTGGACTAGTTCCCTGGCCTCCCCACGCTCACCGGATTTATCGAGCCTTGATTTCCTTTTGTGAGAAGCCATCAAAAGTGTCGTGTATCACGATCCTGTTGTGTCTGAAATGGATCTAGTGGCAAGACTCGCCTGCGCAGCTGCTACAATCAAAGAAACTCCCGGTGTGTTTGAACATATCAGGCAATAAATGGTCCGTCGGTGTCAGGCATGTTTGGCGTCTGATGGTGCAGACTTCGAGCATCTGTTGTGACATTCAAGCTGTCGTACACCATTTGTATTCATGTCCAATAAATTTTTCAAATTAATCACTGTTTCTTTTACTATCTTCTACCTCTGCTACCACTTACCCCTGACATTTCTGGGCATGGGTTCCTATGCAATTCTTAATCCTTATGATGTGCCTTACCTCTCCTAAAAGTTTGTCGCAGTATTTACGGTACACCCTGTATAGTTTTAACTTTAAAAACATTTATAATCAAGCTTTCCTATTTTTTGTCTCATGTTATGTTCATTATGTTAGGTTTCCAGGACATTTATTATCCATACTATCTCAGAAATGTGGCCATGAAAGTTCTTTTACTTAATTAATTTCTTTTACTTACCATCCTACGTGTGCTAAAGAATTCAGGAGTTTTAGACGTTTTTGCGTTCGACGTAATATAAGAAATTATTTTATTTTAATTCCTTTAGGAGATGATTATTGCAATTTGAATGGGTCTTTTATCTTTATTATTTAGTTTGAAATACAAAATTTTATTTTTTATGGATAATATGAAATAATATACTGCGGTATGACTAGAAAAATATTGTTAAATCTTTTTATTGATTTGGTCTCATGCAGTGAAAACGAAATTATTGCTTTGAAGCATATTGTGTTAAATATTTTTTTACAAAATATACTTTACTGCTGTTAATTTAAAAAAAAATTATATAAAAGTAGAAAGTAGTGAAGTAAAACATTTATATAAAGTCATAAAGTAAAATATTTATTTAAGTCAATTAAGAATAAGACTAATTTTATAAGACCGATGTTTATGCTAGACCTTTGCTACAATGAAGTTTTTCCCCTACATATCCAAAGGCAATTTTATAAACGTTTCTTTCCAGTCATCAGATACGATCTTGTGCGTAGCTATTTTTCGTAAGGCCAATTTAGATCATCTCCGCATGTTTTACAGAATTCATGTAGATTTGAGTGACAAGCAGGTTTACTATACAGTTTGTAACATATGTTACTTAATTCCCAGTTATTATTATTTTGATCTTCCTTCTGTATTCCTCACTAGGATGCAAATTAGCTTTAATTGTATTTAAGCTGAAGGTATTGAATCTTGGAAGGAGCTTCTAAGATTGGGTCAATCGGGTCTGGTCTTAGAATGTTCGCCAGTTCTGTTGGCTTTGGCTGGCATTCACGCTAGCCTAGGCTTTAAATTTACGTTATCCGCATTTGAATTTAATTGCTTGTTATTGTTTAATTTAAATAGCCACAAGTGGTGGTTCGTCTGTAGCGTAATTTATGCCTTTATGTTAAATTTTCGACTAAAATAAAAAAAGGTTATTTAAAATCTATTCCCGTATTTGTAAGTTATTGATATGTAGCGTCTCGCTATACTCTAGTAGTGTCTGCCTGCAGGGTTTTAACCTTCAGCTTCAGTTATTAATAGCAATCCTACAAGCTTAGAAATTTACCAATAAGAATGGGAGAGTGTAACCTGCGGCTAGCTGTCTTGCAGATTACAGAAAATTCTTTTTGCGACTCTAATATTTGCACTGCTGCGAATTCTGCAGAGTGAGATTAGATCCTGTTTTGGTATACGAGTGTTTGAATTTCTATCGCGGTCTAGTTGTTGAATTGACAATCATTCTGAGAAGAAGAGCTTGTATTGAAATCAGGTGCGAGGTTTTAGTTTGCATCAAGAAACTAATTTAATAATTCAGCAATTAGCAAAGCTAATAGTCAAAACTCATCAGATTTTACATAACATATGAGAGCTAAGAGTTCGACATGAAATACTTAAACAGCAGTTAGTAAGCACCTTTTCAGTGTTAAAATGCAGTTAGTCTGAGATAAACTACATTTCCATTAAAGGAGGAGAAAATCGGACGAACAGATTTCTGATATTTCTAGCACCACAAAAGATGAAGATGGAAGTGAAAAAGCTTCTGCTGATGAAGAAATTAAACTGAAGTGGGAACTAAATAGAACTGTCTTTGATGCTGTTCAGAAAGAGAATGATTTTCTGTCTCGAATCTATTCAATTTTCAATACAAGGTAAATTTTGTATGCTTTAAAATTTATACTGTATTTTATCCTTTCTTTCTACGTACCTTCTTAGTGTAATTGGAAGCATAATCGACGCGTATCTGAGAAGTCCAGGGTTCAAGTCCCGGGAAGAGGGCACTAATTTTCACGTCTTCTGTTTTTTTTTTTTTTTTTTAAATTTATTACTATACAGTGTTAAAAAGTTTTATTTTAAATATAAAAGTAATAAAATTAAATGACATTATAATCTGATTTTAGTATGCAGATTTCAAGTTAATATCTGAAACAACTTTAGAAACAACTTTAAAAATGCAGTAGTGATTAACTCTCTAATTTAAGGATCAATGCCCCCGAAATTAAAGACGTAGTACATAAAATCTTATATTTGAAGTGAACTGTTTAAATGGCAAAGCGGTTGCGACTTTTTTAAATCTAATATAACGTTACTTGGGGACGTGTACACTTATTCAGTAAAGGTATGACTTAATCATTAAACATGCAGCTGTACATTTATTTCACTGGATCGCTTCCGCGCAAGGGTGGAACCAAATATTTGTTTTGGATGAAAATATTTTCTGTTTTGCAAGGACATAAATTTGCAAATTGAAACAAGAAACACTTAAAAAGCATTTACTTCTAAGAATTAAAAAAATTAAACTAAATATTCCTTTGTTATCATGCAGTTAACTTGCTATTTTCTGAATTTTTAAATTGTTACCTCAGTTTTGGTAATAAAAAATATAAGATAAGTTATTTTCTTGGAACTAATATGGAGTATTGGTTTGATGCGTATGCAATAAGTTCATATATTTAAATGCGCAGGAAAAATAAAACCCATTTTTATTAACGCTGTATTTTAAATTGAACTTTAAAAAAATCTGGATATCTTAAAAGCCACCAAGACTTCTCTATGCATGTTTACGGTACTGCAAATCTAACTACAGGCTATAAGAGCTAAATTTAATCATATATATAACACCTGAAATTAATTAAATTTAATCATACACGCAATATCTGAATAAAATATATATCTAATACAAATTTAAGTATAACTAGTAAACTGGTTGCTGATTAGTAATCTATCAACATTTAGTTAGAGCTCGAGCAAAAGAATGAAAGATTTGAGTATGAAGATATGTTTCAGTACTGGGTCTTTTACATTTTCCAGAGACCAGAATCCTCCATAGCAAGTTTATGGACAAATTAAATATATCTCCCTAACAAATATGATGCTTTAATTTTTAAATTTTTTCTTCTTTCAGAATGTATGAACTTACTGAAGGGGTAATGAAAATGAAAGAACTTGTGCAACAAGAGAAAGCGAAGAAGGAAAAATACTTGATTAAGAAGAAGGAGCTGGAAAACTTACTTCCTCAAAAGCGCAAGTCATATAAGATACCACCCAGAGATCCTATAGAAAAATGTAAAATAAGGTGATATTTCTTTAGCTATTCACATCATAGATATAGATGGTAAGATCTTGTGCAAAATAAATTTTCCTATTTGGTAAAAAAGTTACTTAATTGAAAAGAAGTACTCATGGCTTTATTATTTTCTAAAAATGAGCTATTTTACAACCTAAAATACTTGAGTATTTCTTAGATCTAGAATCTAGTTACTTCTGAGCTTTCATGGAATTTTCGTGGTTTACTTTGTAATTATTAGAAATAAAATTGCAAATGAAAGAAGTCCATCATTATGTGAACTGCAAAAGTATTTCTTAACAATTCCATGAACCTTTTGATCAGATTTCTTTAGTCTATGTTTTATTCGGTTTCTCGTAGGATCTGTTGGCTTTGAAAATGATTTTAATTGCTTCGATGTTTTATTTCCCATATTTTGGATAATGTGTCTATCGTCATGCTTAAGAAATTAAATGATTTTTCATCGGAGTGCCTTTATTAGCGGTGATGTTTCATATACTTTGAATGTTGCCTGGAATCTTCTGAGTCTTATTTCATAATTAAATACTGTACCTAATTAATGTAGCACGGAAAATATTAGAAATGGTTTTTACAAAAAATAACTTATTAAAATGTAAAAAATCTGATGTGGTCAGAACCAGCCTTCCTCCAGTTCCATGCTAAGACATGGTAATGGCGGAATTATAACAAGCTTTAAGTGTGAACTACTACTTCTGGCTGATGATTTGTAAATAAATAATAATTTGTTCGTAAACTTTGTGGATCAATGTTTTTTATACACACTAGTAATTTTTAAGTATTATATTCTCCTACATAATGGATGATGATAACTATACGTGATCATATACACATCACTTCCCATGCTTTGGTTTGAAAATATTGTATTGATCATAGTATATATCTTCTCGTCATACAGTGTTTCGGATTGACAAATCGATGACTTAAAAATCCCATGTTTTTTAAAAACAACAATTAAATTTAGTGTTAAGTGCCATATATTTGTTTTGAATTTTTTTCTCAGTTTGTGATCTCAGTGTTCAATTTTCTTAATAAGATGACAAACTTTTTAATTTTATTTATTTATTAAACATCACTTTCTTCGCACTTACGCACATAAAATTCAGCTTATTTTTAGAATTCCCAAAGCAGTTTTAACTCTTGCTCTAAATTGTTTTAAGCGATAACATTTGGTGGCATTTCATCACATCATTTTATTTGAAAAGTGATTCGACGCAAAAGTGAAACGGACACAAAATTGAGGACTGAAGCTATTAGTATATTTAATTGCTTCACAACGAGAGCTTCTTTTCGTAATGAGCTTACTGACGTTGCATTTAACATTTTATTACAAGAATGCACTTAAGGCTTATAAATGTAATAGGTTGTTCTCAATCCCATCTCTTTTTTAAATACCAAGTTAGAGAAATGTTGGATTATCTGATAATATAAATTAATCTCAGTGGCGCAATAGCCCTAGTGGACGACGGCCTGCATTGCCCTGAAATGTGCTTTCTTGACCTTGGGCCCTGGGGTGCACCAGCATATGCCCTGGGCAAGTGGTCAGCTTGTCGCGGGATTCCCGAAGTTTAGTCTCCAAGCGAACTTGGTACTCATTTTATAGACCCACTCAAGGGATGAAAGGCTGAATCAACCTTGCCCAGCCCAGGGATCGAACCTCGGACCTGTGGTTCAGCTGCGCGACGCGCTATCCACTTCACCACCGTGAGGTATCTCATAACATGCTTTTTTTTTTGGCCCACCCGCGGCCGAGCGGTAAAGACGCTGAACACTGGTAGTTCGGTCCGAGGTTCGAATCCCGCGAACTGGCTGGCTGCATGGGCTTTTCTTGGTTTTCCCCATTTGTAACTTGTATATGAGCCAGTTTTCCTTAGAAAGTCCTCCACGAAGGCTTCCCTCCCTTTAGGCAGACAGCCGTCGTGTGCTTTGCCATAGGTAAGGGTAAAGGTAAAAGTATGGGAGACACCAGCGATGTACCATAGGTCAACTGGTAATGCCTTCCCATACTAACTCTTTGGGAAAAAAAATTAATAAAAGTCTGAGCAGAGCTTTAAGTAAAGTATAATTTCCGATTTATCAATTTTAGCCGAAATCTAATATGTTTTGACCATAGATATAAAAGTCTTAAATATTAAAAATGAAAAGTTATGGATCATATTTTAACATAATTTTTTTAATTAAAAACTGTAACGGGCTTCAAGTAAAGTACCACTTTCGTTTATCCATTAAGTATTATGAGCTTAGTGTAAAGTACCGCTTCCGAGTCCTATTTTACTCAAAATACAATCAGTTCTCTATATGATTGTAGAAGGTTTAAATACGGAACATAAAAATATTTAAAAGTTTCATATAAGAATTATCGTGGACGAAAAAATCGTCACACACACACAAACAAACAGCGACAGCCTTTTAAAAATCGTAAAAACTTGAGGATCCTAATTCGTGCTTATTCACTGAAAACTCAGTATCGAATACACGGGTTATATCACATATTACACAGCATCAAATTCCTATTATGCATACGTCATTTTGCATTTACTGCTTTGACATTTTTTTAGATAATTTTACATTGTAGCATTTGTTAATCCATTCTCCTGCAAATAATGTCAATTACTATATTTCATTTTCCACTGTAATACTATTGATTTTTCACACACAATATTAATTTTATGTTTGATTAACCCATCTGATAAATACTTCAGGAAATTACACATTTTGTTTTGCTTTAAATATAAAATGCTTTTTTTTGTGTGTGTGTGATGCTGATTATCTAAATTAAGAAACGAGGCTTAAAGAAGTATTTTTTCCAGAATTATTATTTCTATACGTATTTTATATAAACTATATATTTTATATCTTATGGTCTAGTAATATCTCAAAATATTTTCCTTTCTAGGATCAGTATTCAAAAGGAAACGAATGAACAATTGAAGATCTTGTTACTTAAATTTTCACATAGAAATTCGGAAGACTTTCAGTTGTATAAAGAATTTGGAGAGCAAATAAAAAACATTTATATTACTACTCTTCAGCGCCACTCCTCTTCTAAGGAAATGCTTCAACAGGAGGAAGTAAAATCCTCTCAGAATAATGAAACTGGGGGTATATCAGCCTGACTTCATATATTTGTATGTTAATGTTTTGGATATTGTGAATTGTTTAAATTTACTGTGAAACTGTTTTTAGTTCAGTTAAAGATTTGCATTTTATTTATCTATCTCAAATTCATTTACATTTCTTTTCAGTTTCGGCTGCATTTACAGCAGATATTAGAACGTTTTCCTGCCACTGCGCTATGCATTATGATCAAACAATTAGTTATGCTTGTTTTTTAAACTTTTGTAATTTTTTAACCTTCTAATTTACTTACCTAAAGACATTAATAAAGATTCCTTAAAAAGGCATTTAAAGAAAACATTGAACTCTTTAACATTTTGAACATCAGAACAAGTTGAATATCACACAAAAGTTTAATTATCCTCCGTAAATAAATGGGAAAAGAGGGATAAATAACACACACAAGAATTTTGTTAGCAGTTTTTATTTCCCATTTTAAACTTTATAAATGCAAACATTTGATTAATATATCAATTTCGTGTTTGTTACCACTCCGTCGTTTAAAATCACAGACTAGATTCGACGGTATTCCCTATGAAGCATTTGGAAACAACTTCACATTATTCCTCTTAACCACAGTTTTTGCACATACAATTTCACACTGATTCATTTGATAGAGAAAAAGAAGTTTCAGGTATTCAAAGAAAAATTTAATTTTTTATTGAATCAGATCAGAAGGTGCATATTAATTTTAGATAAAAGTTAAACACTTTTCCGCACGTGCATTCTAAGTATGCATAAGGAAGGAACTAGTATACTATTTTATAGTTTTTAGAAACTGATTTAAAATACATTACTGCTGTGGTAAGAAAGTTAACTATTTCCCTTTTGGATTCAAAATTATTCCGAGGTTATTTACGGGCTTCTGAATTTAGAAATTTTTATAATGATTTCAACCATTCATAAAATGCTTAGGATTTGCCCTTTAGCTTGATTATAGTTGAGGACATGCATGTAGCAATTAAATATACTGACCCCGTAACCAATTAGGAAACACTACAACAGCTTATCAAAATTTAACATCAAGCGCTTGTTCAACAAAATTAAACTAAAGTTTTCATAGTTTAAGTTGATTTGCCTTGAATGAAGTTAGATTGCACTATCTACAAAGTATTACACGATAACAATTTCCTCACAGAGGAACATGGCAGAGAATAAAGTTTATATGAACTATTATATGAACTATGTACACATGAAATGAACGTATGAAAATAAACAGTCATTGAACATTATAACAAAATGGCAAATCTGTCAAAATTATGTTCTAGATTAAGTAGTTCGCATTATTTCAAGAACATCTATGACCTTTCAATATACCTTTCTTTCTTAGAGATAAGTGATGCAATCAAAATTGCTTTCTCTTTAAATAGAAAATAAAGGATGTGTTCATCACGACCATTTATTATGAAGTAATCTAAACTATGTTATGAACTAATGAAGTCATATTTTAGATTCGCAACATAAATAGATTAGACTCATATTGTAATTTCTTTCGCTGCTTCAAATCTGAATTTCTTTTAAAATTTGATATACTAATTTCAGTCTCTGTAAATGCCTTAGTTTTAGCATTTTGGAAGGTTAGTTGTTTGAATGCTATGCTTTCCACAATTAAAATAAACTTATGTAAAAGTAAGTATTAACATTAATGTTAATTTCAGTGTTGATGACTGTGTTATTATTGAAGTTTAATGCACAGCTAGAACATTTGGTTGTTCAAGTTTGGTCCAGTTCCAAACACACAGCTTTAAAAACAATTTTTCTAGGCTGCGTTAATGGATGATGATGATGTCAAAGGTTACAGATGAAATGTTTTGCCATTTTGCCATCAATAGGTTCTGATATAGTCCGAGGTTTTTTTTCACTGCTGCCTGATCATGCCATTTATCATGATATTTGCGAGTGCATTCCTTCTACGTTTCCAGGTTCCAAGGTCTTTGGCATGGTACCTCAGCTGTTTCAGCCATTCTAAGGTATCACTCCTGCATTCAGCCTACAGGAAAAAATATTCACGATTACTGAACATGCATTTCGTTACATAAGAAGAAAAACTAAATTCCTTTGTAAAAATGAATAGTAATGTACCTCTTTAAACACCTCATGTATTGCAACAAGCGAATTGATTGAAAATGAGTCATCAACTCATTTTCAATATGTCTAGTAGCTGCTACAAATTGTTGATTAGGAAAATGGAAATTTTAGAAACTCTGCTTCCCCAGGATCTGACTCATGAGGACCAAATAAAAAATTAGAGACAGTCACAGGATAAAATGAGGACTTAATAACGAAAGCCAGCTACAGATCATGCAAGACTAGCACTGACATGGGTTGTAGCACATTGACACTGACTTAAAAGAAAATGGAGAGTGAGAGAGCATGGCTGGAAATAAGCTAGGTAAGAGCTGATAGACGTAATGAATGGAGAACGAATCTGAAGATCTTCTACACAACCTTGTTCTGTGAGAATAATAACAATATGCTATGACTGGAGGAAACCAGAAAGCAAAGGAAACCTTTAGCACTTCAGAATGAATCAGGATGTTCGTATGTAAAAATTCAAAAGGAATTTAAGGATAATTTTAATCGGATGTTTAGTGAAACACTGTTATAAAAATTATCATATTGCACATTTTCAGAATTTTGTAAGTATTATTCAAAAATTTAAAGAAAAATGTAAAATACAAATTAGCTTTTGTACTTTAGAGTCACCATCGAACACGGATTGCCCTTGATTGGCTACTGAAGGGATACAATACAAAAAATAAAAATAAAAAGAAGAAATTTAATAAAAATTACAGTGAAATATTCTTATTATTTATTAAATGGAAGAAAAATCATGAATATTATAAGTTCTACTAACAGTTAAGCTATAAAGTGTATATTATTCTGTCTTTCCTCGGCTTATTTCACAAATATTTCCTGAGCCCAGAAGTCATTCAAAATTTAATTGATGCTCAAGCGAGTTAAATATGGGCTACTCATAACTACATCTCATACTGCTGTAGAAACAAGAGATCTTAAGCGTTCATGACTACTGTGCTCAGTTTCCAGCTATGTTTTATTAAGGAGAAGTACTTGAGTGTGTGAGATTGAGCTTCCATTCAAATGGTAAGCGAATTTGTATGCAATGGTGCGAAAAACTGAAGGACGAGACAGATTTTTCGAATATAACGTCTTGCAGAAGTTTTATATGGACTCAGCTTATATCATAAGATCCCCAAGATATAAGAATATGAAACAAGTGAGCAAAATCATCCAATCAAAAAATCAAGAGGATCAAAAGGTAGCTCCAAGCGTAACTGGAAGGAAGAGAGAAATTTTCTGGCGCCTGGCAAGAAACATCTAGTCTTCACAAAAGGATATGATCACCCTTGACTACAATGCAGGGATTCCAACTTCTGTCCATGCTGAGGGTTGTCAAGGAGCTGATGAGGCATCGCAGCCCATTACTTCGTAGCGCCAATTTCAGCTGCGAAATCACTACTGACGGTTAGTCACGTGCTGTCATAGTTTCCTGAGAAGGTCTTAGACGTGTTCTATGCCATTTAGGCCAGGATACCTTACAGGTCAATCCATGTGTTGAATATCTTCACTTTCTAAGACAGTTATTATACAATGAGTTGTAATGTCGTCGTCGATGAAGACGAAGTCCGTACCCACAGTACCTCTAAACAGACGCATGTGGAGCAAGAGAACATGAGTAAACAAAGAACTCGGTACAATAGCAAACCTCAGTAGTGACTGGATATCCTTGGGAGATACGGAGGTAAGTACAGTTTCCAAGCATGACAACACCCCAAACGAGTACCCCGCCACCTTCAAAACGGTCCCTTTTCAAGATGTTGGAGGGGTTATTGCATGCTATATTCTCTTTCCATATGCATATACGTTCAGAATCGTTCATCAGACTAAATCGTATCTCATCCATAAACAGTAATCGACCTTACTCCTGTTGTGTCCAGTTCTTGTGTTCCCGGCACTAGAGAAATCAGCGTCTGGAGTAAGTATTAATAGCACAAAACACCGTATTGGTCATCGTGCATATAGATCATGTTTGCGCAGTCTCCTGGCCAAGTTAAAACGTTACATCGGACTTCAGTAGTCCGTTGCATGTACCTTGCGATTTCTGTCCGCTGTCTCTTCTTGCCATCAAGAGAGGATACCAGTTGTCGTGGACGACCACTGCTGAACGCTCGAACATCTTTTCTTGCTATTTGATATGCTCTCCAGGCCTGTGAAAGGATGCTGTTAGAGATCCCGAATTTCCCATCTAGATCTATGACACTTGAACCTTCTTCCAGTTTCCCAATGAAGCGATCTCGGGTAAAGGCATCCAGATGATGTATCCTGGATTACCCGTTGGTCTTATCGTATAGCAACTTAACGTCGCACAGAAACTTAACGTCGTCGGAATCACACTACACCGTGCGGTAGCTTTCAGTGAACTGCGTGGCGTACAACGCCCTTTAGACATTCTTCTCCCTAAGTGTCACGTGCCATATATACGCATGCTTTATTGTACCGGTTCCAAGTTTGTCTTCTGGTTGATATTTCAGCCCATTCTTTTGCCTTGTTCCCTTTGATATTAATTTCTCCGCCTCGTCCTTATTTTTTTGTACATCATTGTAGTTAATTGCCCATGTGTCGTACTGGAATTTTCTGACATGAATTACTGAAAGGCAGATGATATAATTATAAATCAAATGTTGCCAGAAACAAGCTTTTACATCGGACATTATATTTTTAAAGTTAAGTATCGTAAATTATGGTTGAATGAACTTTATGTGTGACTCAAATTTTTGGCTATAAATGTCTTATTTCTGGTAACGGCGATAAGTCGTGGACACAGTTAAACTGCTCACTGACCGTAAGGTATCATAGTATCATATAGATTTGACACATAGAAAATTTATGAATGTATAGCCCTGAAGTACTTCACTACGCTTATTGTCATCTAAACGAAAGTGACGACGAATTTCATTTTGTAGTAACTAACATTAATTTAGAAGAAGAAGCATTGGCAAAATGCATTGAGAGCTAAAAGTCAGCATGTTAATACATAATTTATCGTTCAAAAGTTTAAACGGTGTTGTATTAATTGAGTTATTAATAAAATTTTCTCTTCTTATCCTAACGAAGAGCTGATAGAACATTATATATATCTGATATTGTCTTTCGATAAATATTAGACTACTTTCCTAGAACTTTAGAAAAATTATTTTATATTTGAAATTAATATTCAAAAGTTTCAAAAACTTCGCTCTTTAACACTATGAGGCTGATAGATACATTGATTGTGTATAAGGCAGAAGCAAGATTATCAGTCACATTTTACCAATGCCACGTAGTGATGAAAACATGTTACAAATTTCAGGTTTCGTGGAAAAAGCTTATATTATGGTATATTTGTTAACCAACATTTTAAAACAACATTTGCGAGTAGATTTTCGTGATATGATGCTTTGCAAAACGCATTTCTGCTTCAGTAAGCTCAATTCAGCTGAAGGAAATGATATGGTATGTTGTACAACACACGTTTCTAATATTAAACTTAGGTAAATAACACTGCGAAAGGTAAGAAATTTAATAGTGGAAGAAGAGAATATTTAGCACTGGGGTTTTGCTGCAGTAAATCCTTCACCATAATTGGACGCTTGTGAAAGGGGAACCCGTAATTGAAATTCACTGAGAGGTTTTTGAGGTGTTTGAAGAATATATAGAGGTATAAAAGTTACATTTTAAAGTTTTTTATTTAAATAAAGTACGCAGCTTTAAAGTTTTTAATACTTTGAGTTCCTACTGAAAAATATCAATGAAGCACACACACTGTTCTCACATATTCTACACTAAAATGAAAGCGATACATGTCAGTCTATTTTAAATGATTATTCAAGAGAGACTGCTCGTCACCTTCAGGTCGGGCAGCTCAAAAGAACAATCCAATTTAGTTATTTTGCAACTGAAATAAAAATATGTTTGTTCGTAATACTAATAATATTGCTAATTATTTCAGACTTTTTGATCAATATTTTGGACATCGCTATTACAAACAAAAGAGATGAGTTAAACGTAAATGAGTTAAAACTGCAAAAAGGTAAATTGCTTAAATATTCTATTGATCTTCTGCTGATTGACTGTTCAGTTCTACTTATTTCTGAGATTCTTTCTCGAATTTTGCACATATATTAATTTATAGTCTTAAATATGGAGATTCATTACATAAATTTTTAACATTTCTTTTACACTAGTGCGATTGTACTCACTTTAAGGAAGATGGATTCTTTTGTCGTATACTCTTGTATTTCGATGATATCTTCATCCTCCATTTCTGCACTTATAACGCAGCTTCCCAGATGCAGTGGATCCTAATGCAAGAAAAAATTGTAAATATTATTGTTTTGAATAACCATACATTGATGTAAAAATTATGAATAACAGTGATGTTAATCTCAGGCCCACATGACAAGAGCCCTTTTAGGTTAATAAATTAAATTAACAGTGAATTAAAAATATCTTATGCAGAACTTAAAATAAATTTAAAAAAATAATCACTATAAAATACAAGCAAAATTAATTATTACGGTTAAATACTATTTTAATATTAGAATTAAATGTATAAACATTTTTAAGGAGTCAGAAGTGTTTATCACTGTGGTGTATTATGAAATATAATTGAAATAAAATTGCTTTATAGAAATTGTGCTATAATACTCATCTATAATTTAAAAAATGCAGAACAATTTAGAATTTTAAACACAACTTTCAAAAATTCGTTTTTAAATATTTTAGTATTCTTTTACTTATTTACACCAATAAAAAACATAAAAATTGCAAGAGAAAATTGCTTGTTTGAAATTTTCTATCAGTTCAGATTTAAAATTTAATTTTCTAAAAGAAGTAGTTACAAATTTCCTTACAGCATAGGAAAAGCTAAAAAAATATCTAGTCCTGAAAGCATGCAATAGCTTTATAATTATTTGGAACGCTAATTATGCTTGATAAATATGCTAAATTTTTAAAAATCAATCTCAATTTCAAAAATAAAACTATTGTGAAATGAGGCGTTACAACCAGCTTTCTCTTGACAATTATACACGCTGCAATAGGCAACCGATGTTAAATTTCTGCAAGTCGTCCCTACTCCTCCGGATGTGATCAAGGTGACAGCCGGCAACGCCTCAGACAAGGGAGAAAACCCGTTTGGGTTAGTCTATTTCTTATAAGGTCCATGGTCTCTAAGCAAGATCATGGCTTGAAATTTAACAGTAAAGACGTGAAGAAATTACTAGAGGACCATAAAAATAAGTTCAAAAAGAGAGAACTGGGCTAGTTTCAGCAGCAAGGAAAGGCAATTATGGAGGAAGTGCCTTCAGAAGAAAAAAAAAAAAAAAAAAAAAGAAGAGAAGATGAATCAGCTTCTTTGATCAGAGCTGTGCTTTCGCCGGTCTAGCACTATTACGTTGTTTAAACAGCCCATTCCCTCAAAAGACGGATAAATTGTTGCAGAACTCTTTTGCTGATCGATGTACTACTTATTTGAGCTATCTGAATTTTCTTAGCCGTCTTAAAACACTGTTAGTAATATTTTAGCAATAATAGTATCTGATTGCACGCTAATAAGCTTGACACATGTCCATGTTTTAAAAGTAGATAGTTCTCTTTCCAATTTTAAGATGTTTACTGTAGATTTAAAGAAAAACACGACAGAAGAGATTTAGAAATATTTTATTTTTATAATAGATGTGAGTTTCCCGGAAAAATTTCTGTGCAATATTAGTTAACAAATTAATTGCAGCTTTAAAATTATAGCAAAACCCCAGTTTTCTGGATTCCTGATACATGCAGCGTGATGCATAAAATATAGTACATATTTATAAGAAGTAAATAACGTTATTATGTTGCACATATAAAATATGAAAGTAAGCCTTCTATATTCAACATAAAAGTATCTAAAGAAGAAGCTATATATTGCATATATACAAAAAGAAACTATATATTGCATATTAGATTTTTTCGCTTTTTGCTCCAGGTGTTTACTTCTGTTTCACTGCCTTATTTTAGTTAGACAGTGTAACAAATTCCGTATCGACGCCAATAAAAAGACATTAGACAGACGTAAAGAATACATTATTTAACAGTTTTGAAAACTATGCGTGCTTTGCATTTTGTTTTACAGTATTTACAGTAAAACATATTTTATGTTTTTAATTGCACAATCTTTGTGGAAACAAAATAAATAATAGGAAACAACACCAACGATCTCCATTTACATTAGAGTAAGTTCTGCTTATGAAAAAAATTTAGCTTCCGAATACATATACAACCGTATTATAGTGAATCTTCGAATATCCAGAAGTCCTATGAATCAGTTATTTCGGATACTAAAACTGTACTATGCCCTTAAAATGCATTTATTATACGTTCGCGAAATTAGATTGATTCTAATAATACATTTGAAAAACTGATAATTATCAGGATAAAAACGTCTATTTATTCTGGAAGCTACAGTTAAGAAGATATTTCTTTTCAAACATACCTTTTTATTTCTGGTATCTAAACGGTGACACAAATAATTTAAAAATGCAACTTCAAAACGCTGTTGTTTACAAAATTGTTTTGAAATTTTTTGCCCATCTTCTGAAAAAAAGAAGAGTGAAATTTATATATTATATACTCACCCTCGCTAGGCTGTATCTGCCGTTTTTCTCCTTCATCAGCAAAAGCGTGGCATCCTGGATTCCTGTATTTCTGGGAAAGAGGATGCTATTTTCTTGCGCTAAGTCAGGCCTATAGTTATTGTTGGGCTTTCCTTTGGTAGCAAGCAAGGCATGGCTGGGCGTGAACTTGATGGCACGACCTCTCCTCGACTTAGTGAAATCGATTGTGCCACTGAATGCCAGTTTTCCGGCCATGACAAAGCGGATATCTTCTTTACTCCATTCGAGTACTTCCATTGCCATCTGCAGATAAATATTGAGATTTCAAAGCATTTTTAAATGAATTTTTAAATTTTAAAAATAACTATCATTGCCTTTAAAAGAAGAGAGAGCTTAGAGGAAAAATATGGTGTTCATGAAATCAGAAATTAATTGGTGCATCAAAATATTATTATGTCATTATACAGCCATTAATTTATTTTATGATTACAGTCATAAGATATATTAACAAGTATTCATATTTAAATTAAAATAAATACTTCATATTACTTATAAAATTTTATGGATTTCCTGAATAATTACAATAAAATAGATTTTCATTATAATCTAAGATACGAAGTACATTGCGGAAAAAAAAAAAAGAGATAGTTCTATATCTTCCGTTCTACTGAGCCGATTGACGAAATTCAGCTTGCGTTTTTCATGTCTCGAAAGCGCGACTTAGGACATGTATTAGATTTATATATAGCATTGTTCTAATATAGGTATTTTAACACAAAATCGGAGTTTTTCTGAAATGGCGTGCCAATATTTTTCTATATTTCAATTCTACGATTCAAATTATGCCAAACTGCCAAATTTTGTAAAAATCGCACGAGTAGTTTTTAAAAAATTAGCTCTCAAAATTTTAGCTTCTCAATGCTAATTGAATTTGGTATATATTTCTTAAAATTTCTTTTTTTATTAAATTTACTTGATTCTATGTTCCAAAATTCGAAACTTTGTTTCATTCCAAATAAAATTCGCCCACTTTTTATGATTTATTTTTTAAATTTGTATTTAAAAATAATTTTGATAAATTTTTCGAAAAACAGTTTGAATAATAATCTATAAAATTTTTACCATCATCTTAAAGTCGATGTATTTCTAAGCATATCTGTAAAAAATTAGAGTTTTTCATTCAAGATTTCCTAAGATGTGCGTGAATTTACATTTTGGTACGTTTTGAAATTTGGTGTATTTAATATAAACGATAACAAATGTGCGGTTTAAGCATTTTGTTAAAATTATTTGAAAGTATGTATGATGACATTTTTTCCTCTCGTATACAATGAAAAAATGGAAAGGAAAAGAGTTTGCTATAAATTAAGAACTTCGCCAAGTCATTCTTGGCGCAAACTGAAAAATGCGCTAAGATAAAGTTTTTTAATTTCTCCGTATATTTTGCCCCAAATTTTACAAAATTTAATATTTAGGCATAATTTGAGTAGTAGGATCGAAATATGGAAAAATATTGACAGGTCATTTCAGAAAAAGTCCGATTTTATGTCAAAATACATAGCTTAGAACAATGCCGTATATAAATATAATATATATCCGAAGTCGCGCTTTCAAGACATGAAAAACGCAATTTGAATTTTGTCAATTGACCCAGTAGAAGAAAGGTATAGAATTGTTCCCCCCGCTTTTTTGTGCAGTGTACATGACTCCCTAAGAACAGTAATGATTTTATTTTGTGATAATGCCCGTTTTCCAATAAAAAGGGGGAAAATCCATTTACGTACAAGAAGAATAAACGAGATGCTTGTCTGGAATATAGAAATCAAATTTCTTACCCAGAAGTATCAAGATTTAGAGACAGGTGCACTTCACTATCATATGCAGCTATGAATAGCAGCAACGCGTTGATCTCTATCCTCTACATAAGGATTCAATTTTTCATCTAATTCACGCTGAAGAATATGTTAAAAGCATAAAGAATGAAACGCGTAGAATTAATTGCATCTTTATTTTTGCCGTGTTTTTTTTTCCATTCTAAGACGCAGCCTTTAATTTCAGAATTATCGATATCATATAGGAATGCAAAACGGAAACAACATCAAAAGAGATTATCAAAGGTATACAAAGTTGCAACTATGAAATGCAATACACGTTTACAACGTCAGCACACGAAATTCCTGCACATTTCGGAAAATTTCTGGCGCATCTCGAATTTCTGAACATCTGTAGAGATGCATGCTACAAAGTCCTTATGACTTTCAACAATCATGTCACTTTCCAGTCCTTTGATATAATCCCAGAATAAGTATTCAAAGCTTCTTAAGCCTGGCTACCTTGCAGACAGTGGATGGATTACGGCAGGGATGGGCAAACTACGGCCCGCCGGAAGTTTCTATCCGGCCCACGGATAGAATTTTAATTTGCTGGTCCGAGGCAAATTAAAAGAAGTATATATATCTATCTCGTTTTCTACTTTGTTTAAATATTACTTATTTTCTTCCTTTTTTCAAAGGACTGATGATCTTTTTACTTTCTCTATTTTTGTTCTACAAAACATAAATCGACGGAAATAGCAAGCACAGACAGTTTTCAATCAGTAAAGTGTTAAAAGCGGAAGTTCTTTGTCAGTTATAGCTGTAGATTGGCGCCAACAAACGTTATTTCTTTCTCGAAGCAGACATATGGGAATCCAATATAAGTGAATTAGATTTCTTAGAGAAAACTTAATCTTAACTTAAAACTTAATCTGTTTGCTAGGCAGCTAGCTAGGAACGACTTGTCTCATCTCCTGAGGTTAAATTCAATACCCTCAGTAAATGAAGAGAAGCTTAAGAATTATGAAGATGGCTTGAAAAAACTGCATTTTGAGTTCGAACGCGGATTTCAGTGCCATTCAAACAGAAGTGGATATTTTTACCAGGCCTTTCAACGTAAACTGTGAAGCAGTGAGGTCATATTTGCAGCTTGAATTAATTGAGTTGCAATCTAACAATCATCTCAAGCAGTTGTTTCTAAATATGCCAAAGATAGAGTTTTACAATCACTATCGAAAGTAAGTTTCCCAAATTTAATATCTCATGCTCAGCAAATCAGTGCTATGTTTGCTTCATCTTATATATGTGAACAAGTGTTTTCAACTATAAACCTTAGAAAGAATTATTTCGGAAGTAAACTGACAGATGAGCATTTAGCCTCGTTCCTTAGAATCAGTGCATCTCACTTCAAACCTCAGTATAAGGAACTTTTAAAAATGAAATCGCAATTTCATTGATCTCATTAACATATTTAAATTGTAATATTTGTATATTGTTTTTAAAATTTTAGAAAAATTTATCTTGGCCGCCAAACCTTTTTCTTTCAATTTTTGGCCCGCGACTGAAAACGTTTATTCATCCCTGGACTACGGTGATCAGTTTACTAATGTGCAATTGTCATGTTTAAAAGATGATGGTGTTTCCGATATTGCACTATTATTTAACTGCAACTAGTCTTTGTACAACCTATCCTCCTACATCTCTCAGAAAGTCTGCACATGCTTAGCCGAATAACTTTGTTTGTAAATGAAGTAAATAAGACGCTTTAGAATAAATGTGTTATTGAACTGTGTTTCATTTCAGTGAGTTCCTGAACCTGTTTAGAATGAAAAAATGTAAATAAGTCAAAATTCTTTCAAAAAAGTTTTAATATTCAAATAAAAAGATAGTGCAGTTGGACAATACCCACATTACCTATGGTTAAACATTGGGTGTCCGCTGCACTACAACCTGAACCTGAACCTGTTTAGATACTCTTTTATTAAACAGTTAATTTCTCAGTAATGAAAATCGTTTTTGTAACTATGTGGAACAGTGAAAAGAAATTCACCTTCAAAGTTATATCTGTTATTAGTTCAATTAACACTTTTTTAAGTTAATATGTGCAAAATGATGAATGCAATAAAACAGTAAATTATTTTTATGTATGTTTTAATCTGAAGAGATAGTATATTTGTTTTCAAATTTATAGGTTTTCAGCCTCCGTCTTCATCGTTTTTTGAATCCAATATCTTAGAATGATATATCGTAGGATAAAAGTCTGCGGAAAGCTTTACGCTTAGTTATTATGTATACATGTTTGAATACATGTAATAATGCGAAGAAGCACTGATATGAAATTGGTTTTTACATATCACTACTCTGCAGGACAGGTATAAAGCATAACTGCATGCTTGTTATACGCGGCAGTTACTTTATAACTTTAGAAGGCACATGCTGTTATTTGCAATACTGACAATTACATAAGCAATACTGACCAATTACATAAGCCAATGCAAGCTCTCTTTTAATCTATAGGTTATTCAATATAGTTAGAACATAGGTAACATGCAGAAGGCACTAGCAAATCTTAATACATTACTATATGTAATCACGTAATATTTATCTTCAATAATTTGTCTCTTCATATAAAGATAAGTATATACTCACAGTTTCTTAGTAGAAGCACTGTGATAAAAGGATATACTGTATAATTTAAATGTGTAAGAGATAAGTAGAGAACCTCTCTTTTGTGCATGAGAAAAATACAGTTCACAATTTATCTGAAAAATATAATAAATATGACATTTATTATTGATATCAACCATGAAAATGACTTTGGCGATTTACGTAAAATTGTCTTTCCATTTACGTTCAATTACGTTTCAGTTTAATTCAATTAATTTAAATTGTCTTTCAATTTGTAATAATTTTAATTTAATAATTTCAATAACACCAATACTAATGAATGATGTATGAATTCAAGGAAAAGTACTGATTTAAAAGTTTTGCGTATTTTCTTCAAATTCTCACAATTTTAGCGTCACGCTTCTTCGAAAGAGGTGGGAACAATTAAAGACCTGATGACAGTTTAATGTATGAAGGAAGTACAATCTTGGAGAAATCAAAGAAACATTTAGTTACCATTAGTACATTGCTAGTTAAAATAGCAACTGCTTCCTTTGACATCTTCCTCGGATATTTTATGCTTTCTCGGATTTGTACATAAAATATGAGTTAAGAAGATATTTTGTGCCCTTTTGCCATATAAGATTCTGTTTCTCAAGAAGTTATTCTTAGGAGCATTCCATGTTCTTTTTATGTGTTTATTTGTTTGATTTGTTAAATTTCTGAATTATTCTTACGAGAATATCAGAATTTTAAAATAAACACTGCACATCATTTCAATAATTATTTCGGTATATGAAATAATTTTGCATTAAAAAAAGAGAGATTGGATTATAGAGGTTGGAAATTTTTGAATCGTAAAGGATGACTAACATTTATGCAAATGTACAAAATGCCCACCTCACTTTAAAATATCCAGATTACTTAAAACTATATTAACTCAGAATTACATTACATATAAGGAGCAGTTTTCTAATTTTCTCTTTTAAAAGTATTACATTTTACTAAGGCCACAGTTTGCTTGTAATCTAAATACTAATGTACTGCGGTTTTATATTGTAGAAACAGAAATAATCATCTTGAGATCGGTTTGTAAGGAATTGAATCAGACGACGGCACTGATTTTCGTGATGTAAAATGAATACTATCTAACTTTCCTCAGAAAGTACTCAAAATAAGGCAGACAGCCATCTATTTCTTGCCATATGAGCTAAATTAATCTTAATTGCTTTAACATTTAGTATAAGTACACAATAAGTTACTTTCAAGCATATTTAAATCAGATATTCCTCAAGTAAAGTTTAATTAGTAAGTAGAATATTGAGCCATTTTGGCTTAATCCTAGTATACGGTGCACATGAGAGTTGGCGAAATTCGGGTTTAAGAGACTAATAAGCGCGCCAATTGTGGTAACCAAGCCGATTTTGGACGCTCTGGAGGAGAGTGCATTTGGGAGCATTTTCGCGCATGCTCATTAAATATTTTAAATTGAGAAGTTTTGATTGGTGCAGATGGAAGAGAAGAATTATTTCAAACCATTGTTTGAAGTTCCGTTAATCTTCGGTCTTCGGCTGAACTGAATGAGAAAGGATAACGTATGTTCAGGTAAAATTTATTTATCTTTTATTTTTTGTATTTTTTAAAATAACAGTAGTGGTTCCGCCGAGTTTCTGATTGGTTAATATTTTTTAATTAATCGGTTTTTGGTCAGATACTGAATATGATTTTAGTTTGATAACGTCTTTTATTCTACAGTTCGAGTTGCTAACGTATTTTGTTCTACAGTTCTATTTGCTAACGTATTTTGTTCTACAGTTCTATTTGCTAACGTATTTTGTTCTACAGTTGGATAACGTTACTTTTCGATTATGATGTGCAGTGCTATGAATTGCGAATATTTAAACACGAAATTTTTTTGGAAGTTAGAACTGGAAGGAAAGCTTGCTGTAATTCAATGGGCAGTAGATGCCGGATTGCTGCCGAATTTTAAAAATCGCGCCATGGCCGCACCGTATACTAGGATTTGGAAGGAACGTGGAGTGCTGTTAAGCGTGGGATGAAGGGGACGAAAAAGGTAAGCGAAGAGTTTGACTCTTATTTGGTGGAATATATGTGGCGGCACCTGAAAAATAATAAATCGTCATCTGAAAAAATGAAAGACTTTATATTTGCAATAAAAGCAATATATCCGCCACCCGAGTTTGAGGGCTATGGCATTTGAGTTATGATATAGACCCTAAAACATATGTGACACTGAGCCATGGTATTTAATTTATTATATTTGATATGTGAATGTTTTGTATTTGTTGCGATGCATGTTCAAAATTATATTTTTATTTGTTATAAAGTCTGCTAAAAATTATTTTCAATTTCTAAATGCTTGCTTTTTTGCTTGTGTCTCACCGTATGCTTATTATATTATGATTATCATTTTGTTTACTTTTTTGCCAACTCAAACTTGTAGTGACGCTTTACTTTGAGGTTGCCAAAAATTTGGCGACAAACGTAAACGCATCATTTTGGTGTTGGCGACAATTTTAAAAAGAGCGCCAAGGCCGCACCGTATACTAGGATTTTACCGCTATTTTCAGACATATTTTATTGAACTACCTCCTTTCTATTCAATAACTAATAATATAAAAATTTTTAACATAATTTTATACACTTACCTTTCTGAGTTGAATGCTACCAATATCGGAGATGCTGTTGGCTGGTCGCCGATGAGCAGCAGAAATATTCGATATCCTCCTCCAGATTTTCGTTCCTGTAATTCCCTTGGTTTGCTGCAAAGATTCAAAAGAAAAGTTCACTCGATGATATGTTTAATTATCAGAAATAAAAGTTTGCAAACACTGAACACGCTAACACCTGTTTAAAAGGATTCCCAAATTTATTCAAATGTTTATTTATTAGTATTCACACGAATTGTCTATACTTGATTACGTCGTTACAATAAATTAGTATATTTTTCGTATATCATATTTAGCATTTAAAGCCACTATATCGACGGCTCTTAATCAAAGGGTGTGACCATTTGAGATGTCAAAAATTTATTAAAAGATCATGGATATATTATATTTTTGTTACATATTAAATTTTTTTTGATAAACTTATGTTTTTTTAAAAATAATAAAATGATAAAATCAAATATTACCTGAATTTTATCATTATATTATCTAAAAAAATTAAGTTTCGTAAAAATTTTTAAATACTTAATATATTCCTTAATTCTTCCTAATTGTATTAATTCTTCTTAAATATTTTAACGTAAATTTTGTATTAATATATTCTCTGTTAATTACAATACTTTAAATTTAAGGAATTCTTTGACTAGTTTTACACTTCATCCAGATATAATACAGAAAAGGAACACTGCTGGTAATTCTTTCGGTTGGTTCTTGACATTGTTCAAATAATTTTCAACCGTTATTTGACATTATGTAATTTTTGCTTTATTTTTTATTAAATTATTTTGATTTCAGTTTTATTTTCCAAGTTTCCAAATTGTTTTAATTGTTCCTATTAGAAAATTCTTCACTTTAGGTAAATATTAAGTCTATATATTTTATCTCTTTCTTAATTAATTAATTTCCTGGCATTTTGCGCGCCATTGATCGCATTTATTAATTAAATATTATTCAACTACTTCTTATCTCTCTTTGTCTATCTATCTATCTATCCATCCATCCATCTCTCTCTATATATATATATATTTAATTTCATTTTTAATACCTCCTACAATCAATTTTAAATATGAAAATATGTATGTTTACATACAAACACTCTGGGAAATTAACTTACATACAAACACACTACTGCGTATTATTAAAGATAAAGCACTCTAAATGATGAAACATTTAAGTTAAGCTTAAATTTTAACTGTACACATACACATATACAGAAGCTGTACGATCTGTCTCCTCTATTCCACATAAACTAAACTAGATCCTACAATGAACCTGGCGAATTCTCACACAGGTGTGAATGAAAATACCAACACAGAAAAAGGGTGAAAATAACCCTTTATTAATTACAACTAATAACAGAAAGGCACGATCTTCGTATTTTACACTAACACCGTCAACTTGCGGTGAAACTTAAACGTAAAATAGAATATAACTCAATTCAAAGTATAATTAGAATATTACTGGATTAGGAAGTATGGCTAACTTAGGTTTACTCACCATAAACCTAACAGGCGTGACAATTAATTATCCGAAATGGCCAAGGGGCATTCTAGCGTAACAGCGAGATAGCAACGAAACGTGCGCTGGGTAGCAAAAATACGCTCTGAATAAACTCAGAGATTCACCCGTTTAAATACGCACTTCACTTACCTTTAAATTTACATCCTGGCGAGGAAATGCGAGCGGATGTTGAGGAGTTCAGGAAAGGCATCAAACTTAAAATAATTAATTATGCAAAATAAGGGAACCCTAGAAAGCAACATAAAATGCGGTGTTTGTAATCCTGAGCTTTGAATATTTTTTCCAGAGAGCCACTTCATGATGTAGTACCCCTTTAACGTAATATAATTCGTATTTAATATAAATGAGCCTTTAAAAATGCATTTGAATGAAAATTTCAAACCTATATTATATTTATATGGTGGCATATGATTTTCAAAGCAAAGTCTTTTTTAGTACGGTAACACTTGGTTTAAACTTCTTACTCAGAATTTTATCCTACTGTCGAGAGTGTATGCCAAAGTCGAAGAGTTTTCACCTAATAACTAATAAGTTTAACATTTCTTCCTTAAATATTTATTTGTACTACTTTTGAGTTATAAAATACAGCATTGTAATAACTTAGAGTAACTGCTGTTTCTTGTTTAATTTTAATAAATAATTGATGTTTAAGTCGAATACAAGTTCGAGTTGCTGTACAAGTCGAGTTCTGATACAATTTTAAAAGTTACAATTGTACCAGAACTGTTACTCTAAGCGATCATATCTAAATCAACTGATGTAGATCGCCTAGAGCTATTTATGATCGCTAAGAGCTAATTTACATTTCACTGTTAAATAGCAGTTTCAAAACTTTAAATATTACAGCCTAGTACTCAAAGGCTTCTACCAAACGAACTTCTTAGATACAAGAAAGAAAGTGATCAAGATGGATACTCTGATTTATAGAGCGAGTTTAATCATAAAATTATTAAATACCGTTAACGCGTTCTTATATTTAATCAGAAAAACATGAAAATAAAGTATAACTGACTAGGAATTTACAAAAAATATTATATTGTTACACAAAAAGTTTGTAAATAACAAATTGGAAATTTTTAAATTAAATTTTTTTTAAATGTGTATAAATATTTCGTTATTAGCATACTCAAGTTATATATGAGCTATACGTTTCCGCGCAAAAAATTCTTTTCAGGAGAAATTTCACGGTTATTTTCATACTAATTCCGGTGTAGTAATGAAAAATTAAAAAAAATATAGTATATCTAAAATTTCTTGAAATCTTGAACAAACCAAATTTCAAAGCAATAAAATTTCTCGTAATTTAAACAGTTCAAAATTTTAACTCTTCTAATTCACGTAAGAACAAATAAATACTAACAACATTTACAACATGTTACTTAAATGTTATTTCAACTACACACCTCTGCATTCACAAAAAATAATTTCCTAATCATTTTCTAAGAGAACGTGTTAAAAAAGAGCAGAATTCAAATTCAAATTTAATTAAATTTAAAAAAATTACTTTAAAATAAGGCGAAATACTTCACAATCCTTTTGAACTTATTTATTATTTATTAAGCAAATAAAATTACTTAATAACCTATTACTTAATTTTAATAATTAATTTAAAACTTAAATTATTTCAATATATTTTTAACTATTTAAAAATATTATCAATCTATAAATTTTATTTAAAAAGTACTTGAATTTTTCTATTTTTCTACAGCATAGGAATATCCGTTAAACACAAATTTACGCAATTTATGCAATTCATTATTATTAATCGAAGTTTTCAGTTATCTTCGTGGCTTTCCAACAAAACCTTTTACATATGATTACTTCTGCTTACAAAGTATAGAAATTAGCAGACAGAAAGTATTAATGATAACATACTTACCTTTCGGTAAGTAAAAAAATCTAACATCAGAAGTACGAGTAAAAGGCTAAAGTGCAGAGCGGATAATTTCTCGTTAAGTTCCAAGCCACAGAAAAACACCGTATGACAAGATGCCTTTCCCAACTAACCGTAGCGTTTCGTGGTCGTGGTCCATTTGTCGAAATTACGTTTCTGTCAGTAACATATCAACGCCAAAGGTAGGATACAATTTTCTTCTCGTTTCAACTGCGGGCGGAAGCATTTTTTGAAAATTCTGGTTTTTCAGAAGGAAGAGGCAGAGCATGCGCGTAAATTCTAACGTCATCATCGGTTGACGGAAGAAATACGCGGCAGTAATCGCGGTATCCAGTGAAAATGACTTACGCGGTTAAACTACGTTGTCCTTGAATTAATGTACAAAAAAAAAAAAAAAAAAAAAAAAAAAAAAAGCATTATATATGAGTAACGTTATTCAACCTCATGTAATGATTAACGACAAAGTCTATAATATGCGGGTAATAATAAAAAACATCGACGTAAAGTTACCTGTCGCATGGATTTGATTCTAGCTAATTTCATCTCTTTGTTATTAACGAAATGATCAATCTTTCGGTCCATTCAGTTAAAAACGTTAGTTGCTGAAAATTCTAGTAATGAAGTGCTTAAAAGAATTTAGATATTCAACAAAACTGCAGATTTCTTTTCAAAATCAGAAGTAATTACAGAACCTTTTTTAATGCAGAGAATATATAGTAAATAAAAATTAAAACGCTAGCGATTAACATCACTTAAATTTCAAAAAAGCTAGCGATTACATCATTTAAATTAAAAAAAAAACTTGCAGTTAGTTACATCATTACGATAAAATACTTTAGAGTTAAATTTCAGTCTGACAACCGGAAGATAATTAATTCCGTTTGTTTATTGGCTGAACGCAGCATAATAGGCCCGTTCTTTAGCTATGCCAAATTAAAACACAAGAACAGAATATTGACAATCATCAAGCGATAAAATATTTTTAATAACAAAAATGTATTGCTTGCGAAGCACTAAAATTGCACGTTTAAAATATTTTTTAAATCACTCGGTGTTAGTTAAATTCCATAAAAATAAAAAGATAATGTTTTGAATTACCAAAATATAAAGTTTTTCGTTGATTATGTATTACTAGAATTAAATTCATTTGGGTGCTAATAATGTTTTCCAAATCAAGTTTGTTAAAGAGAATTTAAGTGAATTAAACATGATTTTGTGTATCACTTCTATTGCTCATTGACTGTTGCTATAAATTCTGTTGCTCATTGAAATTTTGTTAATATGTTAAATGTTTGTTTACCAAGAATATTATGACAGCTACACATTTTCAGTGCACTGAATTAAAACCAAGGTTTTATTTATTTATTTACTTATTGTTAATTCTAATTTTACCCAAACAATCAGATCTAGAAACCGATTTATATATAACTACATAAAATTAGATAGTGCTGAAATGAAGTTTTTTGTAACATACCGTAGATTTATTTTTTAAAACTTCTGTGACACGCAAGAGTTGTACATCACATAATAAATCAAAATATTCTTAAATAAGTGGTGTTCTAATGTGTTGTAAAGCTATATTAATGGAATATAAGCTCTGAATATTTCAGGATGTTTCGAGAATATTCAAAGCTAATACAGTTAACGAGTTAACATGTAGAGGTTATTTCGAAGCAGGAGA